GCAACTCATGGCATAGGTTGGAATCGCTTGTGCAGCCGACTTTATTAGCACTTCTTTACCGGCTTGAGGTAGACTCTTTTCCGCAAATCCATCAATTTTTGCTTGAACCCTATCCTTGATGTCGCTGAAAATTTCTTTTTTGTGCCTTCCAATGACTGAGGGCAGCCCCAAATATTTTCCATGTGATTCAACCCGCTTTACTCCCAGTCGTCCAGCTAGTTCGTTAGCTACTTCTTCTGGTGTATTACGGCTGAAGAGTATTGCTGATTTTTCTAGGTTTATAAGCTGGCCCGAGACAGATTCATATAAATGGATACTATATAGTAGAGAAGGCATCAACTTCCAGCTTTGTAGCACGTTCACAGAGCAATGTGTCATCCGCGAATAGAAGATGAGTGATGGTTGAGGCTGTCGGTGCTACTTGTATGCCTCATAGATTCCCACACCTTTGCTACCTGTATCATTAGAGAAAAAACTTCCGCACATATAATAAAAAGGTAGGGGGATAATGGGTCCCCTTGCCTTATACCTCGCAGCGGGGTTAGTGATCCAAATTCCTGGCCGTTGAGTAAAAAAAAGAAAGAAGTGGAGGTTAGGCATTTTTCAATTAATCATATGTATGCTGGACTGAAGCCTAGAACACGCATTACTGACAGTATAAACCTCCATTCACCGTGATCAAAGTCTTTGCTTATATCTAATTTAATTGACATGAGGCCCTCTTTCCCGCTGTTTTTTTTTTTTTTTTGCGAATCTCATGATGGATCTCTTGAGCTATGAGTATATTATCGGTAATTAATCTACCTGGTACAAATGCTGATTGAGATTCCGAGATCACATGCTGCAAAACTGTTTTCATTCTATTGGCCAAGCATTTTGAAATAATTTTGTAAACTACGTTGCACAAGGAAATTGGACGAAACTGGGAAATAAGCTTAGGAGATTTTAATTTTGGAATCAGTACTAAGTGCGTGCAATTTATTTTCGGGTCAAATTTGCCATGATTTAAAAAATTCAGAATGTAGTGTGTGACATCATCTCCTGCAATTGGCCAGAATTTTTGAAAGAATAAAGGAGGCATACCGTCCGGTTCCGGTGATTTTGTGGGGTGCATTTGATGCAATGCTTTCCAAAACCTCATGTGTTGTGCATGGCTGCTCCAACCTTCTGTTGAACTGTCTTGTCACTTTTGGTCGTCTTAGAAACAGGACGAAGTGAAGTTCTTGTTCCTCTATGGCCTTGGAAGCGAATATATCTCCAAAGTGGTCCACAATTATCTTTTCTAAGTCACTTTCTTCAGTGCACCATGCTCCGTAGCTGTTTTCCGGGCCTTTGATTTCGTTCACATCTCTTCTTTTGCTTGCATGGGCGTGAAAGTACTTAGTATTTCGGTCTCCCTCCCTATGCCAGTGCAGCTTCGATCGTTGCCTCCACTTGTCATCTTCCTCTGTCCGATGTGCTTCCATCATTTGCTTTTTCAGGTTCAAAGTCTCATACGCATGATCATCGAGTCGGCCATTTTGAAGGCTCTCTATTTCAGCCCTTAAACTTTCAATTTCTTTCCTGTTCGGCTGTGGGTAGTTTTTATCCCAGTTTACCAAGCCAATTAAACATTCTCTGATCTTATCAAGTAGATCCAACTTGTCTCCATTCCAGGACTGATCCAACACAACTCAAATCGAAAGCGTTTGCTGTTTCTGTTTCGGCGAGAATTCCTCTCACATGGTTCTGGTTTGACAAGAGGGGGGATGTGGTCAGACACATGGCTGAAGAGATGGAGAAACCCTTATGTTTGTTTCGTTTTTTCAGTGTATGTTTTTAGGTGTTTTTTTATTGGAAATGTAAAAAAGTGTATTAGAAATGTAAAAAAGTATGCTAGGATGGGACAATTATTATTTAAATATTTTAAAAATACCATCAAAAAACCTAACAAACAAAGCCTAGTATCCGGGGACTGTCTTCACCATTGATCGTTTCCACATGTGCGATCAAGGCAAGCTTTAACCGAATCAAGGTACTTCCTGTTTCGGAACCAGGTGTACTTTCATCCTTCATAATTCAGGTCATCTAACAAGCAATAATCTAATGCGTCTCTGAAAGCTTCAATGTGCCAGTCAGGCCTGGATCGTTGGTTAAGAATTTCGTTTAAGTCGTCGAGACATATCCAAGGCATGTTGTCGTTAGAGTGGAGATTTTTGAACTGATTCCATGTGGTTTGACGGAGGGATGTGTCAATAAGTTCTTGCAGCGTATCTAGTTTTACTTGAATAACAAAAAATTACGACCAGCTAAGAAAATTGAGCCCATTATATTAAATTTTATCCAGAGTGATTTTCTCATTTGTCAACGAATGTCGACACGATAATTTACTATATGACATAGTATACACAGTAAAACATTTATAAATTAATATTATTGTGATCCCAAATTATTAATTTGTAAATATATTAATTCATTGACAAATTAATAATTTACTAATAAAATCTTTAAAGACATTGAAGCTAGCATCACAAAAAATTTGACTTAGGATAAAATGATGATGATTCAGTATTTTTAAAAACCAATCAAACTAAAAGAAGAACTTAATGTACCAATAACTCTTGAAATTCTTTGTTGTAATCCGAAAAATCTACACCAAACATGAAAGAAATGAAAAAATAAACAATTAAAATCTCTTTAGATGTAAATTTTAATTAAAAAATATCCATATATATATATATGTATATTTCAAGTCATTTTTAATTGTTGATATTAAGAGGACCTATATATTTGTATAGGACTTTTCTGAAAACTATTAATTTATTATATTTTGTTGATTGTTTTTTTTTTTTTTTTGTGTGTTGGTCCCGACATGGAACAGGAAATTTTTTTTAAGTTTTAGATGTTATTAATGAATTAAAAAAAATGTATAGAACTCAATGAATACGAAATTCCCTAACCAAAAAAAAAATGAAAAAAACGTTGATGGTTGATTCTTCTAAATTCGGACATGAAAGCAGGCACTCGTTCGGGTTGGCCTAATCTCACATTGGCCGTATGTGATGAAGAAAGAAACTTACAAATTCAGAACTAGGTAGACAGTTAGCAACACTGTTCTCAAATTGGAAGATAGGGTTCATCGGAGAGAATTCTAAAAGATGGATTCTGGGAATTTTTGTTCTGTATTTCATTACTCAACTTTTCACAGCAAAACCATATATATACACTAATACAAAAGTTAACTTCTTTACTAACCAATCATCAGCCTATTTAATGTGTCTAAACTAACCGACATATGTACAAAGACCGATCAACCCTCTACTTAAAATACTACCTATACAAAGCTCAGGGTAAAACAGTAAACTACATAACAATAACAAAAACTGCAAGTTATGATCATATCCTGCTTGATCCGATCATCATCTTCAAGGGGATCAAGGAGGGTATTTATCATCTTTGACAACTGTTTTGTTTGTAAAACAGGCAATGTTTCGAGTTAATTTTGGTTGGTAAATGAAATAAGATTAAATTATAGTTTTGTGCTTTACATTCTTATAATTTGTTTGTAACCAAATTGGTTGATTAATTTTGTGTTTTAATTTCTTCAGACGCAGTAAACAGGGGATAAGAATTGCGGGATAAGGTTGCGTGACTCCGTCCGATATAGTAGTAGCTAGCTTAAACTTAAAGTAGCAAGCAATTTTAAGGACTCTCTCCAGCAGTCGTCATGGACAATAATCGTCGTCCTCCTCCTCCGCCGCCTCGCTCTCGTCCTCCGCCGCCACCTGACTCCGTCGAAGATGAAGATTACGACTATTGTTTCCCCGGTGTTCCTCGTATACCTCCTCCGTCTCCCTTCTCCTCTTGTTCCCGATTCCCTAAGTTTCAAAGCGTTGACATTGATGTTGCATTCGGCCCACCTCCTAACTGGCCCCAACTGAAATCATCCTTCCCTAAGTTGCTACCTAAGTTTTACCCTATCCATGATGCCCACATCGACCAGGCTAGTTCTCCTTCCTCCTTCCCTTCTCCACCGTAGCTCCGCCTTCCCTGTTCTGCTTATTTCGTTTAATTTTTGTTTGTCTTCCTTGTATTTTTGTAGGGTGGGGTGGTGGTGAACCCTGAGGACCGTCCAATGGTTGAATGATCTGATGCCGAGTTTTGGCCTGGATTGAATGCACGCCATGATTGTCTCGAAGAGGAGGGAATCCCTTTTTTTGCTTTTGTTTTCGGACAAGGCCAGATTATGGTTGCTGTTAATCATTCACGCCCAGGTGTGATGTTGTTTTTAATACACTCTGTTTCCTCTGTTTTGTCTTTTCTTTTTGACTACATACACAATGTCCACTGCTAATTGGGTAAATGGGTAACCAAGAGCTTCATGTTACATATTGTTACGAATTAGATAGGGAAAAAAAAAATAGAGGAGGTTGTCAAAGAAATAAATATTAAGTTTTGTGATTTACTTGAGTTCATGTTAGTCAGGAGCATTATCGAACTTGTCTATTGAATTCAGGATATGTATCAAACTTCATCCAGCTTAATTCTCACATCATTGCTACTGCTACTGGCGTGGTTGGAGAGGATATTTCGAGCTGCACTAAGCTCCTGTCTCTTTTGAAACATAAGGTACCTTTTCTTTGTGGATCTTTATGTGATATGGTTTTTTTGGATTGTCCTCTCAATTCCTGACTTGAGAAAGAAGGCTGTGGATGTTATGTGTTTCTTTCCTTTCCTAGAAGATTGATTATCTACCTTGTGTATGCTAGTGCCACGAATGGGAACAGAAACAGGGCAAAAGAATTCCTGCTGTGAAGGCAGCTATGTTACCCGACTCTATTTGGGGAGAATACCCGTATCGTGTCGTGTCTGACACTAGTGTGGGTATGAGTGTCCGACGTGGCATTTTAGCCTGAAATGTCCAAGATTTTTAAAATATTGACGAGTCGGACACTCAGATCCCCGCACCAGATACGACACATGTATCCGAGTCCAGGTAACATAGGAAGGCAGCGAAATTGATGGCCCAGCTTCTGTCTTGTCGCAGTGAAGTGGGAATGATCGCGGGTTGGGACGGTGGATTTGAAGAGGTATCGATACTATTCTTATTCTTTGTGTGGAATTATGTTGTCAGTACTTTGGTTCAGTGCTGTTACTCCTGAGAACCATGTTTTGTTATTTGGTTTCTTTGCTGGTGTAGGCTCCTTCCCTGTATCGCGCTGACGATACGGGGATTCTGATTAAGGGAAAAAAATTGGTCATGGGATCTGGAAATGAACTTGGGTATGCTTTTCTGAAGGTGGATAATATCATTGATTACGGAGGGGTTTGGACCCCTGCTTTTCCTTTCCCGCGTGAAGAGTATGACCCCTTTTCATTGTTTTCTCCCTACTTTTGTGCATTATTTGGTTCCTTAAGTAGTAATACGTTTTCTTTTTCAAAAAAACAAAAAAAAAAAGTTTCTAGTCATCTTGTTATGTTGTGCATTACAGTAAATATAAGGACACGTCAATTTGGTCTCATTCTCAAGCTGCATTGTGGGCGAAAAGAGCTATGTGCATCATTGCATGTAGTACTCTTGATGATGATGCTTTCGCAACTGGTATGTTTGCTGTCTCTTCCTTCCCTTTTGTTTCTTTCTTTCAATTTTAACTTGTAGTAGTGCTAGAAGAAGATGAGCAGGTTTGTCAAATATTTTTATTTCCCTGACGGTGTGGGTATGTTCCTTTTGATGTTATGTTGGTTGAAGTGTACCACATTGGACGTGACGGGATCAGGAAGGTCTTTGAAGATATAAATGTTGTGGAATTCATGCGCCGCCACGAGTTACTGATCACAAAACCTGTTGGAGGCGACTGAGCCTTTCTTAAGTTGTTTGCTTTGATGAATTATTAATGGGGGTGCGGTTTGTGAATTTGATGTTATGAGTAGTGTGGTGGTATTCATTTCTAGTTTGATGACGACTGTGCTTTTAGTGTGATTTGATGTCAGATTATTGTAGTAGATGTGATTTGATGAGTATTAAGTAACAGACCTCATAGCTAAGCAGACACTTGTAAAAGATTGTTACATTCAAGATGTCATTATAGGAACTGTCATAATTCGTAAAATGCAAAGCAACGACAAAGTTTGCTGCTCTGAGCCTCTTCTGATAAAGAGTATTTTGGCACTAGAATGGCTACGTCAAAGCTTTCATGGAATAAAGCACACAATGATGGACTGGAAAAACATTGTGGATTATTAAATATTTGATACTGAAGTCCCGGTTACAACGCTCTCATGTCCGTTCTAAACTCACACAAAGCAGTGCTGGTTTGTCACAGCAAAAAAAAAAAACACAAAAGGCGAAATTTAAATAACAAATATTAATGTAAATGACGAAATTTGGCTAAATGTAAAAGATCATTTGTGGAGTTAAAAGGTCCACAAAAGAATATAACAAAGAATTCTTGCGCCACTAGAGATTAGAAGAATAGCAGGGGGTGTCTAACCTACCATAATATTTTGGGGGAATTCAGTCAAAGTGACTAAAATTGGCTCAACAGCTCGCGAATGAATTGATTGAAGGCATACTCAATTCGCAAAGCACCCAATACAGGCCAAAATGAACTTCTTAATTCTTTACACGTTTTCTATATACAGAAATTGGTTATAGAAAGAACCCATCTGGTCCATCATTCAATGTACTTCCTCAGCTACGGGTTTTTCTTCAGCCTTCCTATCATTTACCAGAAGACAGCCGGAGGTGATCAACAAGTATCTAGGGCGCTTTAGTTGTTCGAATCCAGCGGCTATATGTCCATGTTTCTAAAGATCTTGACCACATGTGAACAAAACGATAAACAAATTTCAACCCGTTTTGTTTACCAATCTTCCAGCCATTCAGGTGTATTGAGTTCTTCAAAATCATTGATGGGGGAAAGCATCGGCGAGACATTCTCTTCTAAAGGCTTGCCAATCTGCTGATTGATGCGAGAAATCAATCCATGAGGAGGTGGGATGCTACGCTGTCTCACTCCTTCCCAGTCGATGCCATTAAACCATGGATGAATTTTCACAGATTCAGCCCCTTGACTTCCAAGTCTTGTACTCTCATCTACATCAAGTAACTGCAACACATCCCCGCAAAATAATTACTTCCAAAAGCAAACTTAATAAACAAAGATATTTAATTTTCTCAATGATACCTTCATAATTAGATCAGCAGCATCGTGACTAAGAGTTTGTGGAAAAGTCAGCTGTCCTTTTGCTATTCTAGCAAACGTAAGCTCACTTTCTCTCCATGATCCAAATGGCATTTCACCGGTTAGCATGAAGTAGATCAAGGTTCCTAGAGCCCACCTGCACGTATTTCCTAACAAGATCAGAGATGCTGAGAAATGTGCATCACAGTAAGATCCACGAGGCTTAGTCAACAGTGTTTATGGCAGCCAGAATAAGCAAGATAAATATCAATGCAGGTATTTACCAATCAGCAGGAAAACCATGCCCTTTTCCTTGGACTATTTCTGGAGCCAAGGAGTCTGTCATCCCGCAAATTGTAAATGTTCTCTCACCAGTCTCTGCAGATAATTTCTTCCCAAACCTGAAGTCCACAAACTACAAGTGAAATTACCAAGAGTAAGTCAAATCTTTTGCATCTCAAGAGGATATAGAAGTGAACAATTTGTCGGGAGAAAATTGCTCAAGAATAGGAAACAGCAAGGTAATTAGTAAATGGAACCTCTATATAGCCCATTTGATCAAACATTAGAACATCAGGAGACACGCCTCTGTAGAGAATACCATTCTGACATGAAAAGAACAACACAGGCACAAGCAGGTCTATCAGCAAATCATTAATCACAGAGCAAATTTGAACTGCAAATTTAGTACCTTATGCAGATCTTCCAAAGTGATGATAACAGAGGCAGCACAGAATTGTGCACATGATTCCTCAAGTGGACTGTTAACTATAGAAGTCAAAGAGCACGCGAGTTGTGTATGTAGCAGGATGCCGGCATGCGTCTGATCCGCACAGGTGCATGCAACTTGAGGCACACCCGCAGAGGTGCTCATGTACTTCATGAGATTCTTCTCTTTGAGAACTTGTTCTTGTTTTCCAAGCCTTTTGATCTTCTGCTTTGAAAACCTCTTCAACGTAAGCAATTTATCTGCAATTAAGAGGAAGAGAAAAGGAAATGCCCCTGTAATTCCCTGGAGTGAAAATGGAGTCACTTCATTTGATAAAATAAGTTTAACTTATATTGGTTAATACCTAAGTAGGATGCATAGTTATTTCTTATCCAATTATTAATACAAATGGAAAACAGAAAAAAAAAAAAAAAAAAACACCAACCTTTGTTTCTCAAAGACACAAGACCAATCTCTGAGCAATCAGTAGTATACAAGCATGTCTTCCACTCCTGTATAATGTCATTACACAAAAATTTTATGCCTTCTCTTTGCCAGTTCCTTTCTGACATGCGCTAAAGATGAACCAAGAGAGACCCTTACCAAATCTGCAAGCTGAATCTTCTCAAAAGTTGAAGAATCATACTCTTCCATGGTAGCTGGAGTCTGACTATCTTTTGGCCTACATATTATTTCAAGTAATTAGACCAAAACTTCAAAGGTCGAGTTTAAGTTGGAAATTAAGCTGAAAGTAAGGGTTACTTTATAACATTTGGCTACAAGCAACTTACTTGTGATCATCTCGCGAAAGTTTGGTTAATGGGCCAACAACAGACTCAAACTTATCTTTTGTTAATACTGAACAGACGACATCACTAACAGCAGTGACCTGAATGGAATCAATGCATTCGCCAAGAAGGATCCATTCTCCAAAATAACTTCCCTCTGACTTTTCCAGGAAAATCACTTTCTTGTCGTGATCCTCCTCATCCTCCTGATTTTCAGTCAAAAGGCTGCGGGCATTTGTATTTTTCACTGAAGCCATGTCAAACGAAATTTTAACCACTCCCTTCTGAATAATGTACAAACCCACGAGGTCCTCATTCTGAAGATGCAAAGAGAGAGGTAATTGGGAGATAAACTCACCGCAACGCTGGAAAAATTCACAATGAGCAAAGAAAAAGTACTATGTAGTATGAAAAAAACAAGGGGTACTGTGTAGTGTATATTAAATTGGGAAACAGTATTTCTTGCAAGGAATGAGCTTAAAAGTGCTTGGTTAAAATCCGCCGAAAGTTGGACATTTACACTCAAGATTAGAGACAAATTCACAACTATAATATAACTATGTTTGCCAGTTGCTTATATCAAATTCTAATCACCCTGTACCGGTATCAAACATCAGTGCCAAAGAAAATATTTAATCTCAAATATGTTCTGTCCATACCTTTTCAATTATAAACTGCCCACTCGAATAGGATACATCTGACAGAGAATCTGCAATGTGACTCAGCTGTAAAATCGTCAACCTTGAGAGGAGATCTACTGACCTCAGAAGCTTCAACGATGACAAATTAGAAAATTCTGACACAAGAATTCCTCTGAAATCCTCTCTTTTAAGTGCCCACAGAGTGCCTTTGGTCACTGCACGGACAGAGGCTTGGAGGGGCTTGTTGTACCTGCAAATTGTAGTTTTAAGAGGAGAAAAGAGACTATCAGAATGTATCACCACTAAGACCTCCATGCTAATCCGTGAAAAAACCCTTTGTTTCCATAAAGAGATGTTAGTCGATAAAAGTGTCTGATAAAGATATAACTGGATTAAGCTATAATTTCCAGACAAAAATAGAGAGGCCAACTACCTCTCCTTTAAGAATAGAAACGTCGAATTCTATATTCATTAATCTATAATACAGTAAGTAGATATCAATCATTGTAAATTGACCAGATATGTAAAGATTGTTGATTGGACTAGGAAGTTGGAAATATAAAAGCAGGATGAAATCTCACATCAGCGCTAGCTCTCCAAAAGATGATAATTTTTCTGCTGTGTACTGCTGTAAAACTCTAGCTACTCCTCCGTTTTTCTCTTCCTGAGAATGTAAGACCATGTTAGAAGCAAAGACATCAAACCCAATTACTAGTAGTCGTCACATTATCTTTATCTTTATATTTAGAAGTCATATTAGTATAGCTCGAGGGATCTGAAGAAATCTATCTGAACAAAAAGATTGATAACGAGTGCCCGCCCTAATTAGCTATAATTTCATAGACATTTCAGTCAGAAACACATTGGGTCGTAATAAGTTATCAAAAGAAGTTAACAAGTGATTTCCTAAAAAGATTAACCAGTGATTAATACAATAAATTTTTCCCATTTACTAACATGAAGTCATATGATATCTACTCACACTGAGTATTGACCATACAGATCTATCTGAACTCCAAATTAGTTGCTTTGGGTTAAAATTTGAAGGGAAAGAAAAAGTTTGGAAGTGAAATCCAATGCAAAGAAATTAACAAGTTGCACAATTACCTGTGTAGCTAAGACTTCAAATTCTCCACTTCCAACAACATAAAAACAGTCACCTTCACCACCCTGTAATATGCTACAATGATCATACTTCCAGAGTGAACGTAAAAAATTTCTAAACAGCTACGATAGTAAATGGTTCTAAATCAGAGTTTAAATACTGTTTTCACACTGCGTGCACTAATACGGTAGTCATAATTTTAGCAACTTTCAACAGACACCAAATGATTCAAAATACTGATATATAAGGTAAGATTTGATCGCACTATGTGAATTGGCTATAGAATCATATGTTGCCACAGTTCTTTATCTAAACATGTAATTTCATTCAAGTACAAAAACAAGCAAGTCCTTTGAAAAGGTTCCAAATTTTTGTTAGGCATTCAGCATCCTCTCTAAGCCAGAGAAATCAAACAACAGTTAACAAAATGCTACCTGCTTCACGACAATATCTCCGGGTTGAAACTCAATTCTTTGCATGCAATCCAACAAAACCTGACACTGGGAATCTGTAAGCTTTCTGAAAAGAAAATGATCGTGTAATGCGCGTTCAATGTGTGCCTGTTGCATGACAGTTTAGTCAGAGAGATCATGTGTTAACAATGAGCATTTGTAGATGGCATTTATCCGCTATTTTTCTTTTACTGTTCTCCAAAAAAGAAGCCACAATAACACAAAGATAGTTAGCATTACTTCTTCTTCCCACGTCTTCCTGTGAGCTGGGGAGGAGGGAATCCAGAGGTGCCCATTCTCCAAAGAACTCTCTATAGCTCGAAGCCGTGCCTTCGACACGTCATGTCTCACACGAGAATTTTTAGGATTCCAACCCATAGTTAAAGGAGATTCTGATCCTGTCATCTCTATGGTTTGAGGCATTGAGGTTCTTAAAAATGCATCAGATGCTGGTGCATGAGCAACCACAGCCTACGAGATGGTGTATATGTAAGTAAAACTGCCCCAAATAACATCAAAATATATTAATGTCCAAAAAGAATAACAATGATAATAACTGCCCAAACCTCATTCAAGCCACAAATTTGCACAACTATCACAGTGATATCATCAGTACGAGTTTCATACTGTAGCCAAAGACGATATGATTCAGCAACAATTGCAGCACAAGCATCACGAGGTTCCTTATACTTCGCAACCTGGTTGTTTTTTGAAACAGAATGAGAAACTTTTTTAAGACATTTTATTGGCATAAATTTATCAACTAGAAATAAATATTCCTGAAGCGCCTCCAATCAAGACAAGTGTGTGTTATGCCTAGCCAGGATGTATTTATGATAGTTGATCAGACCCAGGGATTTGGAGAGCTTCAGATATAAAAACAGATAATAAAGATGTCATACCATGTCGACAACAGCCTGGCTAGAAAGGAACTCAAAGACCCCATCACTGGCAAGCACAAAGAATGGATGATTGGGTTTGAGATCCAAAACAGTAATTTCTGGATTTGCAACAACACCAATGGTTTCAGCAATAGAATCACCAATACTTCGTGTAAAAGCTGTACCAGGGTACATTCCATGTTGCACCCACAATCTTGGAGGATCACCATCATCACCTTCTTCAGTTCCCCAACATTGCACATCAGCGCTCTTGAGTCCCTCGATCTGATCTAAAGTCATAACTCTTGCTCCACACATCTTGACCCTCTCAAGTTCATCAGGTCTGAATGGAGTTTGATCTAATGATAAGTCAACAGCAACAAGATCCTCCCCTTTCTTCTCAGCAATAACAGCTCTTGAATCACCTGAATTAGCAACATAAATAGTAGCACCTCGAACCAAAACTGTAATTGCAGTAGTCCCACTCATGCTGTCATCCAAAGCATCAGCATGCAATTGCGAATTTGTTGTCAAGAATGCACTATGACATGCCTCCACAGCATCCTGATGGAACTTACTATTCCTAAGCAAATTCTCACACAGTTTGTGCTTTACAAACTGTGAGCATTGAGCCCCATTTTCCCCATGACCATCAAAAACCCCAAAGAAATGGTCATCTGGACTTGTTCCAAATGGAGTATGTATGCAAAAACTGTCTTGATTAGCTTTATCAAGCGCATCGGGATAGTATCCTCTCTGAGATAGAAATGAGTATTTTAATTCATAATTTCCTGATGGAACCTTAACTGTCCTTGAGCCTTCTGGTGGCAAAAACTGAGCTGATACCCGGGATAGCCTGCTTATTCCTCCATCTTGATCCCTCGTTAAACTGAGCTGGTTCAACTGGTCTCTAGTTTCCCCTCCGTCATCCTCTGTAGAAGCAGGTGAGAACACAGCAATCTCAGCCGCTTTAACCTTTTCTCTTTCTTTACCCTTAGCCTGTCTCGGTGCACATATCTCTCCAATGCAATTCTTCGAATAAGCACAACCCATTATAGTAAAAACCGAACACAGACCACCCCAGATGCCAATGTTCCTAAACTCATATCCATCAAGTCTTTACAGCTTCATCCGTAAACGCGATTCAATTTACTACTCAATCAAACAATCTCCAACCAACACTAGTAACTAATAGGTAGCTGCAGTCCCTTCAAATAAACATATACGACCCAATCAATACAAACATGAAATCCGATAAGAGCACAAATATTCTTAATAACACATCACAATAAGCAAAACAAAACCCCCAAAACTCACAAATTCTAATCATTAACACTCAATTTATGTCCTACCTAACTTCACTAACTAACAGGTCGCTGAAACCCATTCAGACATACAAATAGAATCAAAACAAGTCTGGAAATGCATAACATCTTAACTTCCGAGGCACCAGTCGCAATAAATCCAAAGCAGCAAAACTCAGAGTAAGTTTTCACCAGTACTCAATTAATGCTCTAGCTAACGAAACGAAATCGACTGATCCACAATGGAAATATGAAGTAAAGAGAATTCAAAGAAATGAAGCGGGGAAACCGCAAAAGCACCTCTTAAACACTTACCGGAGAAATTCAATACGAAAATATAGCATTCAAAGAGCCACTGAACCAATCAAATTGAACCGGAAGTGTGAATGGATGGATACAGCAATCTCTAGAGCCAGAAAAAGCTCTGCAATACGCATTTAGATGGTGATTGGGAGAAGAAGCAGAGAGATTGGGATTGTTGAAATGAAGAGTCGGAACTGGGTTACACAATGGATACACAGTGGCGGTGCCGGGTCTAACCGGAACAGGAAGTGCGTGAGTGTGTGTGCATGTCTGCAAAGAGCTTTTGAGCAGTAGCTATTGTTTATATTAGTACTGTGCTGTTGAGTAGAGCAAACTTTTCTTTTTCTTTTACTTGTTTGCTGGTTTTTTGAGTCTTTCCGAGAGCGGATTAATTAGTCCACGCCCTTTGTTAGGTGAGTGGTAAGTACGCGCCACCGAGTATGGTGGCTTTTTGGATAACGATGGGCCCACATCGATGGGAAAGTTTTAAGGAGAGGAGAGTTATATGGTGCTTATCATTTTAGATAATTAATTACGTGATGATGATGATAATTAATCATGAGATCATCTCTTTCTCAAAAAGCTATCACTTGATGGCTATTGGATTTTTTTTTTTTGGGTATTTATTTTTTTTTTTCCAACAAGAAGTTCCATTCTGCATAAGAAACCAAATAGATAATTTCACAAACAAAAAATGATAGAATCAATGAAATTATAGGGAAGTGACAAATGTATTGCATGGTAAAGAATGACATTGTCTTTTTTAAATTAACAACAGTCACTCATTTCGTCTTGAAATAAAATGATTGTTCGGTTTAGGTTTTTATTTTTACTGATAATTTATATTAAAAATAAAAATTTAACATAGATAATCATTTTGAGACAAGAAAAATATTATATAAATGATTTGGTGTTGTTATCTTTCCTTCCCAATATTTTGTTTCGTATTTTTACAAGTTCTTATCATTGCACTTTTACAAAATACGAAAAGAGTGTGACAATACGTCAATACCTAGTCATTTAGTTGAAAAACTACCATGAATATGAATATGATTTCAACTTTTTTTTTTTAAATACAGTTAATATAAGTTTTCTGATAATGGTCTAAAAATAGCAATTGATGTTAAAAATTGATAAAATTAGTCAAAACTTCTCAGCAAACAGAGCAATTACATATGTAATAGCGATACTTTGCATGTCTAACCAAATGAGTATCAATCTTTCACGTGAAAGAAAATTAACTAAATCATGGGCTGTCTTCTAAAAGTGAAAATTAGATGAGAAAGGAAATATTTTCAACTACAAAGAATCTTAAACCTCAACTTCAAAATCCGATCACTCACTCGATATTCATGTGCTTTTGTTTTGTTTCATAACTTGCAGAATCTAGTGAATATGTGAATCAGATTGCTCCAGTAAGATGATATGTATATGGAATGATAAATTAGTAATGGCCTAATATGGTCGTGTACATCCTACTTGTAAAACTTCATCTTAAATGAACTTTTCTGATGGTCTGAAAGAAAACTTAGATGTTTTTATTACTCTCTCTGTCCCAAAATTATTATCCAATTTGAGATTTTACTTTTAATACAATTTGAACTAGAAATGAAAACTCAAGTTGGACAATAATTATGGGACGAGGAGAGTACAAAAGAATGATACATCGTTTTGGGAACGTTACCGATATTGGCTACTTTAAATGGAAGAGATCCTTTCCCTTAGCTTGTAATTTATTCAAGAACAAACTAAAACGAATGTACACATATCTCTTAACTCTCTTGAGCTAACATGCATGAAAACAACATCCACGAGCTTTGAAAACGGCATTATGTCATCATCACAGAATTTATGGTTTTGCCCAATTCTTGTTTCTCTAATATTCCCAACTCTGTGGTCCAATCCATTTAAGGATGATAAAAACAAAGAAACCCACCACAGTCCGAAATTTGGAACCCTACTGTATACTCATAAATTAAATTTAACTGGTTCTTTTAGGACAAAGTATGTCGGCGGCCTAATCAGACCTTTTCTAAAATTTTTGGTCCTTTTTCCTGCAAAGTGATCGGTTCTAATGATCATTAAGAAGCCTGTGTGCACTTTCTGCATAGTTTTCCATTCATGACCAACCTTTTTATGGTTATCGAGCTGGCTTTATCAGCGAAGACGTTAATTTGATCGTGGCAACCATTGCGTACATTTTCAATGTTAACAAAAGGCGAAAAAGCCCAATGGAATCCTGGTCTTATAAAACTTAAAACAATGCTTGTATGTGTTTCTTTTCACTTGAAAAAGGTTTGCCAAATTTTAAAAGCATGTTTTTTTTTCTTTCTTTTTTATTCGATAAAACAGAAACTTGAATTAAATTTAACTGTAATTGGTGTTTTATAAATAAGACTGGCGATAAAACATTATCAAAAAAGAAATGTGCCATTAACTCTTCGATACTCTCTTCCGTCCTAATTTTAAAACACAAATTAACACTAGAGTTAATTCAAGATTGTCTTAATTAAAAGACCGGAGGAAGTATTAACGATCTGAAAATCAAGAACTTTGAGCGTTAAAATACGACATTATTTTGATTTATTGTTTTCTTGGTATAAACTATGCAGTAAGCAATAGCTGGCAACCCCAAAAAAATCATCTTAATACTGACAATTATTTCGTTAGAACAAAATTCTTAAAAAGTTAATTCGTCAAAGGTATTGCTGATTATATACTACTAGTACTATTATGCTGACGGCGGAGTGCCGCTTTAATTTGTTTATTATTATCACTTTTGTGCAATGAGATTATTGAGTGCTGGCGGCGGCGCGTGATGGAAAATAAAGGCAATAATTTTCTTTTGAGTGGCCTTATTGCCAAAACAAAAAAATAGGGTCCTGAACAACTTTTGTGTGAACTGTCCAGTTTACCCTTTAAAATTCCATCAAGTCAACATCAATTCCCAATTTCTCTCACTTCATTACTGCATTTCCGGCTACACATGAAAAGGTGCTGTATAATTTTTTCTTCTTTTCTTCATTCTAGAATAGAAATTTTTTATAAACCCACTCTAAGGTGAACTACTACTTTACTCTCTCATTGTACTAAAAATCCCAAAGAGTCTCTTAAACACATCCCTAATTGAAGTCTTTTTGTTTCAAAATTATTTCTTCTTCACAAATTTTTCTTTTAGAAAATAAAGGAGTTGAGCACATTATTATCATTGTTTCTTAACATTCTGCTTGCTCGAAATTGGAATTGAAATTTAAACTTTCATTCTTTTCAACAAGATTTGCCACTGATTCACTATTTGAGAAATTTATATACAAAGAAATATGATAAAAAAAAATCGTTCTTTTGCATAATAAAAGTTCTAAAGCAAAAAAAATCTTTATTAAAAACATTTACTATTATGAAACTGGAAACTTGGAGAAAGAACATGGGCATGACCCAAAAGCCTAGAAAAAAGACCAAATCGGAGAAAGGAAACTAGCTATAGGAACCCACAAGCTGACCAATTGACTGGGCGCTGCATCCATCCGCGCTTGACCCACTAAAACACCGACCGTCGTTGTTCGGATGGGCTACAGTGCTACACCAATGACTAGCCGGAGCCACACACCTGAATATGATGGAGATGCCCTAACAATAGAGAAGAATGACGAGAAATTTGATGGTGGAGAACATTTCACCCGATCCCCAATATAAGATTGTCGATATGAATGCAACGGAGAAAGAAATTAAGACGAAGCATTGGCGGTCGGAAGGAGCTGAGGGAATGAACGAGGACGTTGTGGTCTAAAACACCCTTTAAGACCAAATGTCCAGGACCGGATTTCGTGATCCAAATCTTGTGTAATTTGTTGTTTAAGGTCTTGTCCTCTTTTCTTAGTTAATAAAAATAAAAAATAAAAAAAAAGGGAAGAAGAAGAAGAAGACAACTACAATTTTGACTTAAATGGAGGGGTAAGTTTGGTAGTTCACACAAAAGTTGTTCTGGACCCTATTTTTTGTTTTGGCAATATGACCGCCCTTTTCTTTTATATGGATAAGTGAAGCCATGAAAAATAACTACTACGTACAACTTTTTGCTGGAGAATGGAAGGCGACTTTTTCCAAATCAGATGCGATGATTGACGCCATTGATTAAAAATGATGGCTTATCTTTTTGAACTCTCGCAGACCCTTTTTGTACCATTAAAAAAATAGAGGTATACAGAATGACACCAATACATTTCTATTTATATTTTTAACTTCAACCCCAATTTCTATTTGCGGAAGAACCAAAAAAATCACTTCTTCAAATTTGTACAGTGTACATTGTACATTGTCATGACCCTCGCAGCTTCGCAGGCGAACCAGCGTGTGGTCTACCGTCCACCCTCCACCGTAGATCACCAGACACCAGGAATGAGATAGCAGTATCGGGATTTAATCAATACAATATATTTGGCTTGATCGTTACAATGTTAGAATTATAATTAAATAAGTACATCATCAAGCATTTATTTTAGCTAGGTTGTCAATTGTGAATTTGCACCAATCCTATTACATACTCTTTTCTGGTCCTTTTTATATAACATTTTATTTCTCCTAAACTTTATTTATTGTATTATTCTAATTAAAAATAAAACACCAAAACACATTTTCACATTTAGTCTGTTCTTCCAATTATTATAAAATATTTTTAAAGTTTCATTTTCAGTTGAGAAAATGCGATAAATGAAAGTTAAGAGAAATCAAAACACTAAAATGAAAGTTAAGTTTCATTTTAAAGTTTCATTTTATTGTGTTCTGATTTGCATTTTTTTCATTTCAAGTATGTAAATTAACTCATAAAAATAATCCTTATTGTAAATTATGAATTAGTATGTGAGCTGTTTTTATGGGACAAAAACTACCATGCCTAAGGTATACGTATGGAATCCAAAAGCAGTATAAAAGCCAAATACTAATGTACCAGTAATCCAAAATCTTTATCATATTTTGACTGGACGCACGCTAGCTTCCACTCATAAGTTCTAAGGTATAACCGTACATCTGTATTGCAGTATTGCGCTACAGAACAACAAGATTATGGTCCTATATATATATATATATATATATATTGAATAAAGTTTCCCTGTTCTAAAATATCGATTTAGAGATTTATCAATAAAAGTAGGGTCACATTAGCAATGATATTGATCCGATGTATATGGCTGAATTCAATGATACTTGAGTTATGGATCATTCAAGATGATGAGCAAGCACAACATCCCCATGCCTCGATGCTAACGAGATTTCACTCCAAAGCCCTCAAGTCCAAACATGTAGTTCTAGTTAGAAAAAGGACGTTTTGCCTAATGTAATATGCTTCCCGTTCTGCTGGATTAATTGCACACCAGTTTTGGTAGAAGAATGTGTTAGGAAACAAAACTAAAGGCTATTTATTGGGAGATGATGTTTCATCTTTCATGTGGGCTGGCCAGTCTAGCTAGCGCCTAGCAGAATCCTCCAGGCTGCAGCTCTTGCAAAACAAACGCATTGTTGTGTACATTATCAGGGAAAAAGAAATGGTATGATATTCATGTGATTTTTTTCGAAATCTCTGCTTGCCTCCGTGTTCATGCTCTATTATTATGATTACGTGACATACGTCACATTTTTAAATATATACTATGTTACTCTTTCTGTCTTAAAATTATGATATTGTTTAGATTTTCATTTTAATGTACTGATTTGCATTGGGTTTATAGTCGTGAATTCCGTGGTTTCCACTTAATCCATTATGTGGAGTTCATAGTTTACCCATGTTTACCGATGATTCCATTTTGCCAGTCACTGTCCGTTAACAACAAATTAGTGAATTACAACTGATGTTTACTTCGCATCTCTTGATGATTCTCTGATTCCGAAACGTTTTCCAATATGATAACGAACAGCGTGACCTTTGTTTCACAAAATCACACACTTGAAGCCAAAAGGTATAAACTAGGCAATGGTCGCTTTTCCCTCCCAAACAACAAACTCCAAAACCTCACACATTTGGGAAAATACACTTTGATCACAACAAGCATTTGAGAGCTTTAAACCCTTTTCAAATGAAATGCAGCTCAATCTAACAGGCAATACTAGTCGAATGTCTGCTTATTAGCTATCCGTCTCTTATTTTAATTAGACATCCAATCGCATCTGCTACAATAGCGGATAATAAATTAATACCACTATAACTGTCATCAAAGTGAATTAAAACTACTATAGTATGCAAACATCAAATTAGGGACCGTACCCAATAATTCATCGAGGCAAACAACCTAAAATGCTCAGCCGCCTCTCACAGGTTTTGAGATCTGTAACTTGTGGCTCTGCATGAATTCTACTACATTTATATCAGCATGAGACCTTCGTGATCCCATCATGTCCAATGTGGTACACTTCAACCAACAAAACATCAAAGGAACGCACCCACCATCAGGGAAAAGAAATTTTATTTGAAGAACATCCTAATCCTCTAGTACAAGTTAATTTGAAGAAAGCAACAGGGAAGAGCAGCAAACATACCAGTTGCAAAAGCGTGACATCAGACTCTATGAATGCGGCACATCAGTATTCTCCCCCCAGAGTGCAGCTTCATCACGAGTCCAAACAGACCAGTCCTTATTATAACTAAATAAAAAAAACAACAACAACAAATCAAGATTACTGTTACACAAGAAATCAAATAGAACATGAAAAGCAGGAAGAGAACAAGGAAAAGGGGTTATAATCTTCAAGCAGAAAAGGAACAGCAGGGATCCACCTTTTGTCATCAATCATATTATTCACGTTTAGGAAAGCATATCCAAATGCATTTCCAGATCCAGGATCAATTTTTCCCCTTTAATCAGAAGCCCGGTATAATCAACACGATGCAGGGAAGGACCCTACACGAAGAAAGAAACCAACAAACCATGATTCGCAGGAGTAAGAGGGCTGGGCCAATAGACAGACAACCAACCCCTAACATAATCCCACACAAAGAAAGAATATTATCAATACCGCTTCAAAGCCAGAGTCCCAGCCTGCAATCACTCCTACTTCACTGAGAGAATACAGAAGTTGGGTCATCAATGTTGCAACTTTTGCAGCAGGGATTCTTTCCCCCTCCTTCCGTTCCCATTGGTGGCACTAGCCTACACACAAGGTAGATAATCAATGTTCCAGGAACACAAGCAAAGAAACAAGTAGTATCCACAACCTTCTTTCTCTAGTTGGGAATTGAGATGACAAAAGCGCCCGAGATCATCTAAAAAAACCATATCACATAAAGATCAACAAAAAAAAAAAAAAAGAGGTACCAATGTGTTTCAAATCAGAGAGCAGCGAAATGCAGCTCGAAACATTCCCCTCCAACCACGCCAGTCGCAGATGCAATCATATGAGAATTAAGCTGGATGACCTTGGGGTGCATATCCTGAATTCAATAAACTAGTTATTTGCGTAATTGAACTACTTAGCAGATGATTTGATACTTAAATAACATGAACAAAAGTAAATCAAACGAAATAAGCAAAATAAAGGGGGAAAGGGAAAGATGCGGTGGTGAAGGAGGGAGAAGAACTAACCTCGATGATAGCGGAGGGAGAAATGAGATGTACGAGCAAAACCAAGGGAAACTATAATCATAGTCGTCGTCTACTACGGAGCGACGCGGCGGCGGAGGCGGCGGAGTACGAGAGCTGCGGGATATATTAGAGTCCATGATTGTCGGTTGAAGAGTTAGATTTGGGGAAATATATATAGAGTCAGAGATAATATCAATTCGGTTCAAGAAAGTATGTTTAATGCTTGAAAAATTGCTTCGTAAGGGTTTGAATTCTGGTTGCAACCACCAGTCCGTCGCCGGAAAACTCTCAGTAGTGGACGGCGACTGGATAAAAAGGCGCGCTTGATATTCGTTAGGGTTTTATATGGTTTTAAACAGGGGCAAAGACGACCTTTCAGTGTCTTTTTTCTTTGGCTGATGTCATTATGTGTTGAAGGATAGTTGACCCATCGGTCAAAGGAGGATTTTTTATAATTCTCCAAAATATGAGGGTGGTTTAGATATTTTGATACAATTTCGGGGAGGTTTCTTGAGCTGTGAGCTTGGTATTATGTAATTTTTGGGATCCTTGGTTATTAATAATACAAAAGTTATATAGTATAATTTTCCATATTTTTCTTTTTTCATCAGCCTAAGATAATATTCGAAAATTATTTACCTTTGGTAGAGGTGTTGAGACTTGAAGGAAGCAGCTGGCCCAATGAAAATTCGTGAATTGATGAAATTTACACCAAGGATTCACATGATTCATCTACCCTTTTAATTTTTTCATTTTTCATCTTTTTTTTTTTTGGGAAAAAAAAAGGTTTTGTTTTTTGCTTTAATTCATCAAGAAGTGAGTGTAAACTGTAAAGTGGTCTAACGTTAAACATAGCCCGGAGTAGATGATGATGAGGATAACACCCATGGCGTCCTCAATCAGGCCTTCCCTTTCTGGTTCGTTGAGGTTTGTGGGCCCTTCTCGTTTTGGCGTTGCCTTGTCTTCTTCCGACAATTCTCCTCCTCGGAAGCTCAGTACTTCGCATCTCGGCAGTGGTAATATTGTGTGTTCTTCATTCCTTCTGTTTTCACCAAATTACGTGTTCCGGCGAAACAAATAATTTGTCATTTTTATCGAATTGGTGCGTTTTCTAGTTCCTGTATCTGTATGTATCTGCAGGGTGGAAAGGGGACATGGAAGAAAAGTGTTCATGGTCGCGGAGAATTTTGCTTTTATTTTCCCTTAATTTTGCTTCAGAATGGCTTTCCAGAAGTAATATTCAGTAGTACCTTCTTGCTTTCTTGAAAATTTTTTACCAATTGGTACTTTGTACATGGAGATGATGAAAGTTTGGATTTCTGAGTGTAGCTATACATATCTAAAGGTTTTGTGATGTGTGGGCATTTACCGAATGGCTGGTGGGTGTATTTTGTGCTCTCATTGTTAATTCTTCATTTTGCAAAAAATTGAGCTTGTAAAGCCCTCTGACTCCAATTTGAAATGGTAATTGTGATTGCTTTGGAGTTATTCCTAAATTATGTACCATTTCCTACTAAGTTCCTGAAAACATAAGATAAATTAGGGCCTTATCTGTTTCTTTTCTCATTATGATTTTAACTTTGGTGCTTTGTTGCTTTGTACTCCAGTAAAGATGTTAGGTTTAATTTACCTGAGTACTCATACGAAGTATTTTCTGTCAGTTTCCACTTGCTGGTGTTGCCCAAAACAAATTCTGCTGCTTGTCTTTTCATTTTGGATATCTAACATTAGAATACTTTGTTTCTGTTTCTGTGCAAGTGATTCTCAGTGCATGATCCCTATATCTTCATTTTGAAAGTCAGTGATGATGCTTTGGGCTTTTGTGTAACTCATGTTTTCAGAAGATGATGTTTCTTACACTGCATTTTGCTTATTTGTTCAGCGGTCCCTCAAGCTCTGTCTTTTGGTATTAAAAATTCCAAGTTTTTAAGAACAGAAGAAAGTAGAATGGCGGTTAGCTCGACAGGAAATATAGCACAAGCAAGCACTGCTTCAACTGAACAAGATGTCTTGGATTGGGTGAAAAAGGATAAGAGAAGAATGCTTCATGTTGTTTACCGTGTTGGGGACTTGGACAGGACAATAAAGTATTGTCAGAATGACATTAATCATTTACTTGATAGCTTTCTGTGCTCTTCTTCCACATACTGATGGCGTTAAAATTTTAATTTATAATGGATGAAGGTTCTACACAGAGTGTTTGGGCATGAAGTTGTTGCGAAAGCGTGACATTCCTGAGGAGAGATATACAAATGCATTTCTGGGATATGGCCCCGAAGATTCTCATTTTGTTATTGAACTTACTTACAGTAAGGACTATTTTTCCTTAGCTACTGACTTCTGTTTACATGATGTCTGTTTGTGCATTACATTGCGCATGCTTTTGCGGAAGTAGTGCCCATATCCCAATTTGTGCATATTGTAATATTGATTACTATTAATTGCTAATATCCTAATTTGTGCTTATAGTAATACTGATTACTGCTAATTGTACTGCTAGATTATGGAGTTGACAAATATGACATTGGAGCCGGGTTTGGTCATTTTGGCATTGCAGTCGAGGATGTAAGTTTCTGCAGCCTTCTCCTTTTAACAGACACTATATGCTCTGGTTGTGCTTGATATTGTTTTTTTCTTAAGCAGCCTCATGCTAATTATGTCTATACATGTAGTGTGTTCTTAGTGTTGTATAGACTATAGAAGGCTCTATCTGTGCCCCTTAACTGAATTTATCATGTCCACTTTGTATAGTTAGCATTTACCTTAAGTCAATGAAATCATATATTGACGGCCTAAGCAGACCTTTTTATAAGTAAATGTATCACTTGACTTAGAAAGCATGAGTTTCATGGAAAATACAAACTGTTCATTAATCCCCTTAAATTTTGTGTTATTTAAATTCACTTTTTCAACTTTCATTTTCCCAAAATCATTCTCAAGTTTTTGAGAGGAGTGCAATTGTTATATTTTTTTATTTCTGTTCTTTAATGTTAGGTTATTTTTGCAGCTCTAAGGCTAATCAGTTTATTGTGGTGGTGCACAGGTTGCAAAGACTGTAGATTTGATTAAAGCAAAGGGTGGGAAAGTTACAAGGGAACCAGGCCCTGTCAAAGGTGGCAATACTGTTATTGCATTCATTGAAGATCCTGATGGATATAAATTTGAGCTTTTGGAGAGGGGTCCTACACCAGAGCCATTTTGTCAAGTTATGCTGAGAGTTGGCGATCTTCAACGGGCAATAGAATTTTATCAGAAGGTATGTCGATTAGCTGGATAGGTGCCAAATGAATTCTTCTCAATCCTATTCAAGATGCCTTCTTAATTAATGAAAATCTGACGTAGCCTGAATTTTGCATGTCAAATAGGCTTATGGCATGGAGCTTCTACGCACACGTGATAACCCTCAATATAAGGTAAGTTGTATGACCTCTATGTAATTTCTGGAAAATGGCCAGGTGGGGCTTTTTCCTTATTAGATTAGATTTGGATTTTGCTTCTTTTCTTTCCATTTTGGTTGTTAATTAACTTTGGCATGCCTGGGAGATGAATCTGTTAGATTATTACTTTGAATTCACCAAGGTTTTTATGCACATGAATCTTAAGAGGACTTTTCTTTGTATTTGACGTGTGTATGCGTATTAAACAATGCCCTTTTGCTAGTGAAGTTTTTGTTTGGCCAGCAGAAAGGTTCCCTTATTCTAAGGTTGACCCTCTTTGATCTGCTCACTTTTGGGTCCATCTAGAAGGATCCTCACTGTCCTTGTTATCTCATCTTGCTTTTGTGACGCTTGCCTTTGCTCTGAGCTTTTTGGATGTTTTACTTTCTGGGAAACCCAAGAGGCTGTAATTGATTCATCTGCTTTTCTGAGTTAACTGCCTAATGTACTACTGCCTTTCGTACCTGGTGACTATTGAAAACCATTAGTATATTCAACTTCATTAGTTTGTGCAGCAGCCTGCTGTGCCGATTTGTGTAAGCATCAAAACTGATCCTACCAACTGAACTGGATTGACATACTGAAATGATGTTATTCATTTTGTGTACATCATTACAGAGATAATAAAAGATTTTCTGAATCCCACGTTTGTTGGTGCAGTATACAATAGCAATGATGGGTTATGGTCCTGAAGATAAAAGTGCCGTAATGGAATTGACATATAATTATGGAGTTACTGAGTATGAAAAGGGAAATGCATATGCACAGGTAGACAATCTTGACTGACATCACATGTTATTTGTGGTTTACGTACAGTAAATATCGAATTCTTGTATGCTGTTCTGATGGATTATCTTGACCAGATTGCCATAGGCACAGATGATGTATATAAAACTGCAGAAGCAATTAGGCTCGCAGGTGGAAAGATTACGCGAGAACCTGGACCCTTACCTGGTATTAATACAAAGATTACTGCATGCCTGGATCCGGATGGTTGGAAGACGGTATGAATTTAGCTTGATATATTATGTTTGTTCTTTATGTGCTTTATAGAAATCCAAATCGTCCTTACTTTATAATATGGAGTAACAAGGTTCTTCATTGACCTTTTGGCCTTTTTGGATTCATGTGTCTTAGATCAAAGTCAACCATGAACTGGGCCGTGTTGCTTAGAAAGTGAATATTTCAGTTTGAAACGTTCTTTTTATACTTGCAATATATGCTTCATGTAGCGCTAAACATGATTCAACTAACAGAAATGCATGGTTTGAAAACATGCTGAAACCCTCCAACGAGAGCCTACCCCATTCTGTTCATCTTTTTTGCTTTCTACTCCCTCTGTCACAAAATGATTGTATTATTTGAATTTTTATTTTTAGTACAATTTGTACTGAAGATGAAAGTCTAAACTGGACAATAATTTCGAGACGTATCTAACAATTAATGTATGTTGAATTTTTTTTTCCTTTAAATTTCTTAACCTCACGCTTGCTGCTAGACGAGTTCTTATATAAAAAATTTGCAGGTTTTTGTTGACAATATCGACTTCCTCAAGGAGCTTGAATGAGATCATGGGAGACGCACTTTGCGAATTATTGACATTTGAAGAATAGCCGGCTTTGCGTAGGTCTCTTCAAAATACCATCCGAGAAGAATGTATCTAGTAACATTTGGTAGATGGATTGACCGAAGATTGATGCAGTAGCCAACCGTGTAACTGTGTAAGCAGCACCTCCAGCAGTTGGGAAAAAAGTATAGAAAAAAGCTGAGATGTTTTTGTTTTTTTAGTATCTGGTTTCCTGTTATCGTAAATTAATGCAATTAGGCTTTTGGCTGCAAACTTGTATGTATCATTTCATCTGAAATTGAACTCCCCTTTATCATCTTGTAGGGGAACAAGGAAAGAAAATAAATAATGCCAAGTTTCCTGTTTCAGAAGGTCAAACTGTTGAGCACCCTAATTTTCTCATTTGAGCGCCTTAAAAAAATTTAAAAAGACTATTTTACCATTATTTTTATTTTTATTATTTTTTTTAAAAAAGGGAGGGGGCGACGAATAATTGCGCTAGCTTTTCACGGCTGACACAGGAGGTTTTTCTCGCCACCCTTTTTGGGGTGGCGAGAATTTTTTTGCCCCTTGCGCACAAATCATGTGCCACCTCCCTGTTTGGCAGCAAACCACTCGCCAAACTGATTGGGTGGCGGTCTAACCGGCCGCCACCTTTTTTTAAAAAAAATTATTTAATTTATTTCTTTTTTTAATTTATTTATTTAATTAATTCTTTAATTTATTTAAGTATATTTATTTATTTGTTTGGCGGTTATATAAATAATTTTTTAACTTAAATATTTGGAGAATGTTGCTTAATTACGTAGTAAATTTATCATTTAATTATGTAGATTTTTTAAACTTAAATTAAAAAATTATCATTTAATAACAACTAAAACTTATGAAAAGCTATAGACAATGAGGATTTAGTTATTTTGTCATTTTGAGCAACTAAGCTATGGTACGTAACTTCTTTATTAATTGATTAAACGAAGACAGATCACTCATTCATTTATTACTATTTTAGTCAAAGAAAAACTACATTTAGTTTAAATAAGTTGAAAGATAATTTCTTTGTATTAAGTTGGAAGATAATCTATTATAATTATCTTTTATTAATTAATAAATAAATTTAAAAAATAAATAAATTAAAATATTAAATAAATAATTTTAAAAAAATTAATTTCGGTTTAGCGAGCAATCTGGCGCCACCCCCTTCGATTTGGCGAGCAATTACTCGCTCAACCGAAGGGGGGTGGCGCCAGATTTGTGCGCCACCCCCATTTTGGGAGTAAAATTTCTTCTCGCCTCCCTTAATTAGGAGGTGAGAAAGTTGTGCGCCACTCTTCCTTTCTCCTGCGTGAAAGGCTGGCGCAATGTTCTCTCGCTCCCTCCCTTTTTTTTAAAAAAAATGTATCTGAGGGCAAAATAATATTTTTAAGATTTTTTAAGGCGTTCAAATGAAAAAATTAAGGCGTTCAGTAGTCTCCCAGAAAAAAATATGTCTATAATACAAAAAAGATAACATAAAATTACGCCGAAATCAACTAATTTGCGAGAGTTGTCAGAGTTATGCGTTCATTTCTTTCTTCCTTGTGCCTCTAAATATGTAGTTTTACTAGTAGAATAATAGTACAACCGGAAGTAGAATATGATAATTTTAACTCGAGGGACAATTATGGTTAAATTAAACTTGCATAAAATTGGCCAGTATTATTGAATTTGCCTAAACCTCGAAAACATCCCTTTCAAAATTTATTTATGCATTTAACAAACCAAAAATAAATAAATAAAATTATTTTCATAGTTTACATTTCATTTGTAAGTATATTTATCCAAAAACATTGTTTCGACTAATTTCCCGTTTGAACTGGGGTAATTTTGGTGTTACGTAGCTAGCATATGTGGGAATGACGTGCTTACTTAGTACCTCAATAGATTTGTTGTGTTTTTTTCCCAATGGTATTAATCAATTTCAATTTTTTTGTGCACATTTTAAACTCGTAAATTTGTTTATGTTTTAAAATTTTCTATTTTCAATAAAGTTAGTATGTTATGATATTTCTCATGTGTAATTTAATACATTTAAAGTATATGACATTATTGTAATGTAACTTGTACCTTTTTTTTAACATATAAAAAAAAATTGTTATACATAAGTCATAATCAAAGAGTTATGGTAGGCAAACTTTTATAGTGCTTATTAGCATTCCCACATCTAAGAAAAATACTCTAAAGTGGGAGAATGGACCTTTTCATCCCAAGGTTTGAGCCACACCATCTAAAATATCTCAAAGTTTAAAAGCATGTCATTTTCATCCCAAATTTTTCAAAAATATGTAATATTAGGACATTTGTTAATTTTTTTCAAGTTATTAACGGTGATATTCATTCAGTTTCTTTTCCCCCATTTTTTTTTAGTCAAAAAAGTTTCATGCTTGCGTTTGGTAAATTTGGTCCATGCCAAGCAAAAAAGTTACATGCCCCTGCATCAATTACAACACCAATTTTTATAATGATACTATATATTTAAAAAAATAAATGAAATAAGGCTTACTTTCTAATTATGACACACACGAAACATCTCATGATTGTTATCAATCTAGAAGGTGAATCTTAGATTTTTTTTTTTTTTCTAAGCAAGAGAAGAATGGATGATGTGAAGACCCAAATTAGGTTTAGCTATTTTCTTATAAGGTGGGAGTTAGTGGAACGTGTTAAATGATTAAAAGAATTTGGAGAGGAGAAACAGAATAAAGTACCACCACTAATTAACTAACTGAAGTTGAAAATTTAACGAATATCCTAATGTATCATGTTTTTAAAAAGTTTGGGATGTAAATGGCATGTTCTTAAACTTTGGGATGTTTTGAATAGTGTGACCCAAACTTTGGGATGAAAAGATCCATTTTCTCATAGTGCAAAATACTCACAAAAAATAATCTACTTTTTAAACTAAAATAAAGGAAATATTCCATGATACCCGATTAGAGGGAAATTAATAAATAGTGTAGTGAGTTGGCAGCTGACTGTTGATTGTTGAGTGTCCAAATATTCGGCGCCTAAAACCCTAAACCCTGAATTCATTCAATTAAATCCTTCGGTCTTCGTATGATTGGATTGTGAACCAGAATAGAGGAAAATTACCAAGAAAAAGAAGAATGGGCGATTCATGTGAGAAGAAGAAGAAGAAGAATAAGACGGAATGGAAGAACCCGAAAAAGTATAAGCCAGAGGAGGAGCAGCCCAAAAACCCCACAAACGGTTCCAACGCTAACTCTACCGCCAAACGGAAACGCAAAGAAGTTGCCATCTTTGGAAACTACAGGAACTACTATGGCTACCGAGTGAGTCGTCTCTTCCCTTTTTATTTTTTGGTCTGATTATAGTACTTTCGAAAAAACCCATCAAATCAATAGTTCAAAGATGAGTTTTTTCCCCCTTTTTTTGTTGGTTGAATTAGTTAACTCTAGTTCTGGAAACTTGAGGGTTATGATTCTTGTGCTTTTTTAAAAATTTTTTTTTTAATTGTGGTTATCAGATAGGGAAAGATTTAGAAGAGGACCCGAGGTTAAAGGTTATGAAGAAAGAATGGTTTCAGGGGAAGGATTGCCTGGATATTGGCTGTAACAGTGGCGTAATTACGATTCAAATTGGTAAGACCATGTTCTTTTGAGTTTTTCGTTCGAATTGTTCTATCTGTTTTCATTATCTGCATGTTAAAGAAGTAATAGTTGATTTTTTATGTTTGTGTTTCCCATTCACAGCTCAGAAGTTTTCCTGCAACAGCATCCTTGGAATTGACATTGATGGAGGTGAGTGTTTGTTTCACTGACTTGATTTTTTCCATCTTGTTAGTTTTTCATCCCTTAACTTTGTGCCAATTGTATTGCAAAGGCCACTTCAACAGGCAGAAACTCTTGCTTTTACAACTTTTTGATCATAAGTCTTCTTAGATTATGTTATGCTTTTTGTAGAATCTCTTGCACTTTGTTCACTAGGAGCAATTCTTTTAGTTGCAAAGCCAAACCTGTGAACAAATTTATGTTCCTGCATACATTGGCAATCATTTAAGTCTGTTATAGGTGTACAATTTTTTATGAGTGCATATCATTCTAGGAGACTTACCAGTTCGGTGAAACCCAAATCAAGTTAAACATCGTTTCCCTTTTCTTGTGTTAGAACTCTTGGCCTTCTTTTGAATTAGAACAAGAATACTGACAGTTCATTATTTTCCAGATCGAGTTGAGGATGCGAAATGGACCTTGAGGAAATTTGTTAGGACTTCTAAGAAGAAATCTGCAACTGACAAATCAACGGCCGGAGAAGAAGGAAATCAACCTGATAACCTTGTAACTAAGTCTCAAAGTGAATCATCAAGGTGTGATTCGGAGTGTTCAACTACATCTGCTGGAAGAGATTTGTTTGACATGGTCTCCTTTGAGAAAGGGAATTTTGTCCGTAATTGGAGTTCACCTGCAAATAAACTTTATCATACAATAGTTTGGTAAGCACCATTACCTTTTTAGGAGTTCTCATCTTCTTATTGCTCACCTCATTTTTTTATGATGATCAGATAATCCTGGACAATATCATCCAATCCAACTTTTCCAGCAATTTTATGGCAATTTTGTTCTGCTTTTCCTTTGCCTTAAGCTGGAACCTGTTTTAGATTTGGATCTTTTCATTCTTAGGAGAAGTTTTATGAAAGTTTAAAAGATATTTCACCTCTGAGCAATCGAGATATTGTTCATCTATACAATGTAATTATTTTGTCTCTTCCCCTAACAGCTTAAGCGTGACAAAATGGATCCATTTAAATTGGGGTGATGATGGATTGATCACCTTATTCTCAAAAGTCTGGAAGTTGCTTCAGCCGGTATATCTTGTACCTTTCATCGTTCTCCTCTTTATTGTATAGTTTGTGCAGTTCCAATATTTATTTTGATGTTGCATGTTGTTTTCTAGGGTGGTGTTTTTATTGTGGAACCCCAACCATGGACCTCATATTCAAAAAATCGCCTGGTGTCCGAGGTACTGTCTTGGCAGTTTCTTCTTATTAAAGAAATAGTGAACCAACATTAGTGAATGCAAGTCATGTGATAATGAAGACTTACATTCGGTTGAGTTCTAATATATTCATGTGCCAATCATAGCTTGGTGATTATTAGATGTGAGAACTTGTCATTGCTGATTCTTTGATCTAATTTATTCATTGCTCTAAATTGTTGGTCCTTTGACTCTATTTGCAGGCGGCGACAGAAAATTATCAAAATATTGAGATAGGTCCAGGAGATTTTCAAGAAATTCTTTTGGACAAGGTATATTCTTGAAGTTAAACCTGTCTAAATGCAGCATTTCAATAACTGGCGTTTTTGACAACCTGTTATGATTGGAGTAAAGTAACATAGTCTTTTTCATTTCATTCTTTTCTCAAATACAGATTGGTTTTCGAAGAGTGGAACACATTAACCCGAGCTTATCTAAGGGGAAGGCTGGTTTCAACAGGCCAATTTTGGCATTTTGGAAGTGAATCTTAGAAGATTTGGTGTACATGGAATGGTGCACGTGAAGGAGCACTCTTATTGGATTTAACATACCAATTTTGGCATTGGGGAAGCGGATCTTCATGAATTTTTGTGTAGTTGAAAATTTGCAGTTGGAGGAGCCTGTCTATTTTGTGAGCGTAATCTTTCTTGATGCACTCATGAAGGCGGAAGCCGTGGGCAAAATATATTTAATTAGCCTGTGAAATTGTACAGAGACCAATTTTAACTTAAATGAAATCGAATATTCAAGCTGCAAAGTTTTTTCTCCCGCCTGCATTTTTCATATCTTCAGTTGACATCAATTTAGTAGCCCACAACTTATGTTGCAGTCCCTTTAATTTTATGCTCCCTGTGGCTCTCAAACTGATTGTACGTAACAATTTTGCTGGTGATTTACGTTTTGTAGAATAATGTGCGTCTATCCTTGTACGATCTGTTTAAAGCGTAACTTTAGAAAAAATTATACGGAGTATTTGAACAACGAATGTTAAAGGAAGCTGTTCTGTTTAATTTTTTTCTTGGATAATTTAAATGTTGCAAGGTAAGTTGTTAACATCAATCAACCGAGATTTGCATTTCTTTTCTTTTGACCAGATTTTTTTTTTTTTTTTCGGTTTAAACGACCTCAGCCTAGAGACTGAGTAAACATATACCATATTTGTAAATGGCCACTGCCCACAAGAGGACCCAAAAAACAGTGAAAATGAAATATACCTCTGCAAAATCTATATTGACATCACGAGACAGCATGAGGAAGCAAATTCATACTGTTGTGGACATAGGAAGAGACGGAGTGGAGCATGAAGCAACTATAACTCTAAAAAAAATCATTCATTTCAGGGGGTACAAGGGCTCCATAACCATTCAAAGATTAAAAATTATATAAATAAAACTGCAAGGTGTCTCATGGTACATCTAACAAAACATGAAACAGGCAAGACATCAACCTCCACAGGCCTCATCCTAACCGGAGCATCCTTTATATGAGAAGGATTACAATTTTGCAGGCACAACATCAATTTACCTCCACAATCCTCATTGTACAAGAAATCTGTGCTACGTTAAAAGAGAAGAATCACACCTAGCAACCTGTGCAACGTTAGAATGAGATATAGAACTTCTAGCATCCGCACTGGGTAGCAGAAACCTGTGGCTTTGAGATTGACCACTGGTGTTTTGGTTGCTCCTCCCCAGCTGTCAACCACACTTCCTTATACTTTACTACAAGAAAACAATGTTCAAGCAAGCAGAAAGCCTAAAAAACCCAACAGTGCCTCGACCTCATAATCAAAAATCTGCAGCATTTAAAAAAGCACTTTGACCAGACAAAACTATGGCAACATAGAGAACAAAGCACCTTTTACCACAGTCTAGCTTGCTGCATGCCCAATCAACAACTAAGAAATTTAAAATAATTTATTAACATTTGGAAGCCAAATAAACAGATTGGTACAGGCCTTATCGTGTTGCAAGTTGCAACCAATGGCCTCAGAGTTCAATCGCCCGTCTCACGTCAGTATATGGCAGTTTGCCACATAATCAGTGATCAATCAGCTGAAGCCTCTACAGTGCATTGTTTGCCAGGTGCATAACAACTTCAATCAAATACATCCAAGCAGGTTTCCACCGTCGAAATAACAGATGCCGAGAGCATGTGATGGTGATCTTCCAAAATTCTTCAACCACACTTGTCAGCAACTTGGTTCTTTTTTCTGAAAGATATCCTGCAAATTTCAAATTTAAACTGATAACTGAAGAGACATATAAGTTAGAAAGCCAAAAGTTCAAGGTTACTGCAACTTCTGCTATTTCACAATTGCACCTACAATGATTCACTAAAGGATGTAAACAGTAGACTACAGAAGAGCTAATGTAATATCAAGTTTCCTCACCTGCCTAGCAGATGATGAAAACTTGGGTCATAATCAACATACAAACAACAAACATTAAGATATCTTCAAACACATGATATAATTCAAGTGTGAATAAATAGAGGGAAGATTGGGGGCAGCAGAAAAGGGGAAGAAGGCATGCAGCATATAAACTGAAGTAAACTAATAACATGGAGGTTTCTGAAATCTGAAGGACAATTATGACCAAGCATAGTTCTCCAATCCTAATAAATGCAAAAAACAACCTACCATCCCATTGCCTCCTGAGTATGAATATGACAAATAATGCCAAATAACACTATGAAAAAGACACGAAAGAAGCATTTGGGGACTTTCTACATCAAGATTCTGAGTGTAACAATGACCAAAAAGATCAGGGGGAAATTGCAGTACCAAATTATTCAATTCTATATACCAAGCATAAAACCATCTACTGCGCTATATCCAAATCGCATTTTTAGCCTCACAAAGTCGAGCTTCAATTAAAAGAACAATTAATCCAGTTACAATTCCAACTGTTTACTCGCATAAAACACAGGGTTCCTCGGTGAAAGCAATATTGCTTACAGCACAAACAAATTATTGATACCATGTGAAATTGCAAACAAATTGCTCCCACCAACTGCACAATCTGTCGACAGAAATAAGACTTAACACAATCATTGATCTTACATAAAATTTGGATGAAAAGATGCATAGTTGCAGCATCAAATTTTGTTACATCTATGTACAACTCTAGAAATGAGCTCTGCTCTTTGTAAAGGATTGTGTACCCTTATCATTGGAAAGACATCAACTCCAGCTCCCAACAATAGATGAAAATGCCAAAACCAAGCTCTATATCTTCGATGAAATGATCCAGCATCTTCCTCATAATAGATTATTGCATATAAAAATCCCAATACACTGGATTCTCTACATTTGCCACAGTATGTAGGGATCAATAACCAGGATATTCACGGGCTTCCATGATTGAGTAGATTATAACCATGTGATCCTGCCAACCACAGAAGTTTCAGATCGAACATCTGGAGAGAATACCTTCACAAAGGAGAGAGAAGGAGAATCTAGAAGGATGAAAATACCATTGTGGTCACTTCGCAGAGGAGATGCGCCGCAAAGAAGACATCCAGCTGCTTGATGGACCAGTATTTTCCCCGTGTCCGTTGCCAGAATTTGTTTCAGCTGCAACGTTGGGTCTTGAAACATTGCCTTTTGGTACACCATTAGAGGGAAATGAAGTAGAAGGCATTTGCGCAGGGTTCAATACCTAGAGGATAAAAAACATGAAAACTGTCTGATTTAAAGAAAATTTGATCTCACCTAATCAACTCAATATCTAAATTATTAACACAAAAACTGAGGTGAAAAATGTTTCATATAAGACCGTAACTGAAAGCTAGTGCATCAGCACCAATTGAATTTTACCAAGATTCAAGCACTTCCAAGTCTAACCAACCACCAAAAACAAAATAGAAACTGAGAGGCGAATGTCTTACATTTTTGTCAAGCGGTGTCATGGTCCTATTTGGAGGTGATTTGAATTGCATCCGAATCCCAGGACTTGAGGCATTATTCGATCGTCCTCGTTCAGCCATATCAGCTGAAAAAGGTGCACTGCTACCAACTGTAGCAAACAGAGAAAACATAAGTTGCAAAAAACGTAATGTAACAATCAAAAAACAAGATCTCAATAATCATTATAGCATGAACTTTTTGTCATAATTTCAATCGTAAGGTTGCTGCTCCATTGACACTCTTGCCCTTTACCCGTCTTATGTGGACAGTATGTCATTATTGGGGCAGGGTAAGTACTTTCACATTTAGAGAAAGCCTGGAATTGATTAAAGGGGCGGTTGACGGCAGAGGTACTGCCTTGCTGGTGCTAGATCACGTGATGAATTCTAACATAAAAGATTACCTGAGTAGATAGATAAGTGTGTTCTATTTAAAATAACGTAATAAGATGGGTCTTCATTAACAGACATAAAAAGTAGATATCAATACTCAAGACAAGTATTCAACCACAGTGAACAGTGCATAATACAGACTCGGGATGCCTGGAAACTATGATATGCTTCAGAAATTGAAACTCTGGAAGATACAGAAATAGTAGTGCCTAACCTTGATATCTTTCTGTATCCATATGAACTGCGCGACTGCTCTCAGCAGGCGTTGGCTGCCAATTTGGGATATCAAGGTTAATTAAAGATCATGGACAAAGAAAGTTCAATGCACGAAAACTGAAACAGTAGGTGAGATATGTTTTGCGAAAGAAATAATACACGTTGCGGCATTTTGCTTGATTGTGACTGCTGATACTTTAGGATAGTCCAATCAAAAATGTAATCAAACTCGTACCCTACAAAACATAAATATTAAGACGTTATACACCGTATGAGGTAACATACAACAATTTCGAAGTTTTGAATTGAGCACCCACAAAGATAGTGGAACAGTACACAAACAAGAAACTGAATGAGTTTCACATTTGTAACCGGAATTTCATTACTTTAAAGTTTGCAGAAGCTTCAGAAAGTATGACACATACCTTCACGGGCAAAGAGTTCACGAAAGAGTCGTTTCAGGAAGCCATAGTCAGGCCGTTGGTCAAACGTCAATGAGTGGCAGTAATGGAAGTATGATGCAAACTCCACCGGATTAGACTTGCACAAACTCTATAGAGAGGTAAATAATGATCAAAATATGACATCGGAAAAGCTCCTTCACACACACATATCTAAAATAACATACCTCAATAGGAGTTGACAGTTTTTTCTCACATATCTTATCATATTTTTGTTTTTTGGTCGCAGCTTTCAAGCCCTGCCATGGAAGGCTGTAACGATATTGAATTAGAAAGCAGTAAATGCAGTAAGAAGTTCTACAGAAAATGTTATGAACCAGAACGAAGAAAGATAGGACAAGCAGAAGAAGAAAGCAAAAAGCGCATACCTTCCTCTTAAGAAGTAGAGAAGAACATATCCAAGAGATTCTAAATCATCTCGGCGGCTTTGCTCTGCAAACCAAATAAGAAAAAATTATTACTTGTGCACAAAAGACCCCTGAACAGAGCTCCTTCTCTAGCTAGAAAAGTTATATAGTGTTCTACAGAAAACTTGAGGATAAGTCTCTAAGCACTCACCGATTCCGAGATGAGTATTACAACTTGCATAGCGTGCAGTGCCAGTTAAATTCTTGTTCTCCCTGCATGGTAAAAAGCAACAATGGAACAACTATAATGACAACATTCAAAACAGAAGGAGCTGAAATTGTAGACGAATACCTGTAAGGGATGTGCCTGTTACTAGTTGCATCACGATATCTTTTAGCGAGACCAAAATCAATGATGTAAACCTAATAAGAGTTAAAGAATAGAAATGACTAAGAACGGGAAAAGAGAACATAAAATATGATCTATCATAGCATTTCAGAAGTAAATGATGAACTAAAAATACAAAACAGATTGACAGAAGATAAAGTGCAAAAATTTTGCCCAACTAACCTGATTTGCTTTTCGACCAAGTCCCATGAGGAAGTTATCAGGCTTAATATCCCTGTGCAAGAACCCTTTAGAATGAACATACTCGATTCTTGTAATCTGGAGCATAAGGGAAACAAGAAGTTATTTGAATTTCCATCCAAGTCTTTACTAGTAAGGAAAATATAAATTCTATCCTAAAAACCTGCCTACAAACATGTTATGAGGAATATCAGTCTCCCCATTAGGAGGGCACTAGCGAATTCTTCAAAATATAGGACTTCAACTTAGAGTGCCAAGAAATTGCGATGAGATAAAACCGGAAAAGTCAAGGTAATCACATCTGTGTAAACCGGTGAATAGACATACTCTAAATGCAGAGAAATATAACATATATTAGGTTTGAAATGATAAATTTTGACATATAATTCCTCACCATCTGATCAGCTAACATCAGAACAGTCTTCAAAGAGAATTTCCTGCCGCTGTAGACAAAGAGATCCTCCAGACTAGGACCCAGTAAATCAAGTACTAGGGCATTGTCTTCTCCAGCAACACCAGACCACTTTATCCGTGGAATTCCACCTAAAAGTAAGAAAATTTGAGAAGAATGATTCAAGGAATAGAGTTGATGTCATGAATCAAATTTTCAGAAAACGTACTTCCTCCCTGGAGAATGTTGTATAACTTTGCTTCATACAACAATTGTGGATGTTTCGTCTTATTATTCTCCTACAAAACCGTGAACAGAAAAATCAGAAAAAGAGGTGTAATGGAGTAACATACATACACTCGCAAATACTCCACACTTTAGTCAATTTAAAAGTCATTTTGGTCAAATGCTGAACTGAAACAAAGATTCAAGCTTGATCCTGCTTTATTAGCAGAAAAAAACCATGCTGTCGGTTTCAATATGTTCACTCCAGCAAGAAAGGTCTTTGAGTCTCAATTTGAATGATAGCGTCAATAAATTTATCTAAATGAGTAGTATATATCAGTCATAAACTGTGTCCAGAATCCTTAGTCAGTGAATCCACCTGACACGGGCAATAACGCCCATGGAAATATCATCCGTTCATAAGCTGTATTCTTTCATCGGTTTGCTAAATTACAGCTTAAATTATATGAATCATCTAAAAGTTACCAACGTCAACACATTCTGGTTAACTGAATTATCAATAGGCAAAAAGCATTTCTGGAGACTTTTCAGGGTGAGTATACATGACGGCCAATAAACAATTTTTACGTCATCCCACAGCTTCAAAATTCCATTAATTATTACATCACACACGTACATACCGAATTCAATTGGATGCTTATTTATTTCGTCATTGAACTCCACAACTCACTCCAACTTAATCCAAATCACAATAATAAACCACATATGACGTTAATTAACCCCAAACTGCAACAAATCAACATCCCCAAAAAGCCAGCGAAACCAACTTACAATCTTCACTGCAACAATCTCGAAGGTGTCAATATGCGTAGCTGCAGCAACAATCAAACAAAACCCCAATTAAAAAAAAAAAACCAGAAGAAATGTCAGCAATGAAAATCTCGCCGAAAAAAAATGAAATGCATGTAAAAACCGCTGTAAAATAGACTACTAACCTAGAAAAATTTCACCAAAGGATCCGCTACCGATCTTCCGACCGAGTTTGAATTTGCCTCCGACGATCCGTTCCATGCTCCGGAGCAGATCAGCGATTCCAGATCAAGGAATAAATCACTGTGAATTGAATCAATTGATGAAATCATGCAGAGCAGCTCGCGGAATTAATATGCTGCTAAAACTAGGGTTGTCAGAGAACTGAAATCCCAGTAATCCCCGATTTGGACTGTTGAGACAAAAAGGGGTATATATGCACGAATTACCGCCGTATTTATACTACTAGATTTTGTCCACCAAACTTGTAATTTGCAAACCACAAAAACAACAGCAAGACCGTCATTCATTTATTTATTATTACGGCTGCTACCCCACCCGCAAGAGGATGCGTTCCGATAGGGGAAGGGTATTTATGACTTTCTACTTCTGCTGATGTGGATGGAATAGCTACGTGCAGAAAAAATAGTCGAGGGTAGTTTTGAGAATTCGTGTTACGTGGCGATGACTCTTTGACACCTCTTTGGTGACGTAAGTGAAGTTAGCTTATTATGGATTTGCTTTTTAAGGTGGCGGAGACGCCGGAGAGGGGTACGCCAGCTTGTAAAGCTAAAGGAAGCTGGCTGGATCGACGGGCAGTTTGCTTAGTACGTGAAAATTCTAATCATTAAAATGATTTTGAGTTTGTATTTTATATATATAAAACTCAATAGATATAAAGTATTATTAATTTTCATAATATACAGCTATTTCACGGATCCACTCAAAATTATAAATTTCTTGTCTCTTAAGTTGATTAACCTACTTAATATGATTATCTAGTTTGGGATTTCAATTTTCTTTTAATACAATTAGTACTAAAAATGAAAATTCAAACCGGATAATCAGTTTGGAGACGGATGGAGTAAGTTTAATGACATTTCTTGCCTCTTTAAATTGTTCATAAACAATTAATAACTTTTTTAAATTGTTATTTTCACCTAATTAATGTCCTCCTCATGGACAATGGTGAATGTTTTTCTTTCTTTCTGTTTCTAAAATTTTTATTTTTTTCGACATCCCCCCTACTCACTCAAAGGGGTACGGCCAACCCTGCGATCGACCAATTTTTTTCCAAAAAAAAAAAAAATGCTATTCATACTCATCCATATAGATGTCCCAAGTTTGTTCTGTCACACAGCTCATAAAATCTAGATCTCATTCCCCCCCTACTCACTCAGTCCACGATTGATCAGTGTTCAAAGATTCGCAGTTTTCCTTTTGAAGCACAAATTTTATCATCTTGTCAATGTCACGTGTACACATGTATATGGCAAAGCTTCTCACTTGTTTAGCTGGTGGTTGTTTTTTGTTTTTTTTTTTTTGTTTGTTTGTTTTTTTTTTTGGGTGTTTGAAGCTTGCTTCTTGTGAAGTCATTGATCACTCGGAGCTCTTTCCGTTGTGGCATAATTGTGTCACTTGTGCAGTTATGCTTATTTCTAGTTGTTATTGATTACTTCGAATGATTTTATACTCCATCCGTCCAATTTTAACAATGTATTTTGTTTTACTATCATTTATAATAATGTAGAGTGTTAAATTGAGAAGAAGAAGAAATATACTTGATTTGTTGCAGAAAAACAGTTAACATTGAATTTTAAGAGGTGTCTGGTTCAAAATTTGGTATGGGTTTGGGAATGTCATTCATAGTCTCATGGATTGATAATGAAGACTATAAAAAATTCTAGCTTTCATTCAGCCGATTGGTTCAAGTACATACTAAAATGGGAATTGTTATAAAATTACATTTTTATCCTTTCACCACCAGCAAAAACACTTCCCTAATCTTCTTACTGCACATCCTTGTTGCTCCAGCCGCCATCACTTTGCCTCCACCCAGAAAAAATTATAATAACACCAAATTCAAATCAAACATCCTGGTCCAATTCACCCTGTGTTTATTGAAGATATCTTAACCTTCTCTCTCTGATGGATTTTCTTGGTATTCATCGAAGCGTCGAATTTTTAGCTGAATTGAACAATTTTGAGACTTTTGAATAAGTGCAGAGTCGAGGATTGTCACAGCCAATATACTTTATGTGGAATAATTGAGGTGGACGGCAGGAGTAATTGAGGTCGACGGCATAAGAAATTTCGGCTATTCTGAATCTATTGGGATAAAAAAAATGACAATTGCTAGAAGGGTCATTTCCCTTTGTTGTAAGAGTGATAAGTGGACAAAATATTGTTGAAACGCCTAATTATATTTATGAATTTGATAGTCAAGATTTTTTTGAGTGAGGCTGATTGTGAAGTGGAGAAGCTTAAAGTGTCGTTAATGGCGGAGATGAAGAATATCCGGGGAAAACTAGAAAAGTCGAAGAGGGAGAGAAAAATAAGGGGCAGCCTAGAGGAAAAAAAATTTTGTTCAGTGGTAAACTATCATTCCGCTCGTTTTGATTGGGAATGGAAAATGACCACTTTTTTGGGTTTGAAAGTAGTGTAAGTGGGTGCCCATTTTTAACCAAGCAGCAGAAAATAGCATATTTGGAATTCAAACCCATAAAATGGGATTCATACCATCCATCCATGCATCTCATTAGTACAAATTTCAAAATTCAATATAAACTATTTTTAATGACAGATGTACTTTCTATATTTTTTAAATAACCTAAGGAAAAATAAAACGATTACCTATATATATACTAACTTAAAAATTAAAACTAGTTGGAATAATACGAATGGGACGAGATAAACAAGACATATTTAAAGCTTCTGTTGTATTAATTTTCATGGGAGTATGGAATGAATGATTATTAATTCAAAGTTTAAACATGTCAAATATTATAAGGTAGGGGTTGAAACTAGTAACTTATATCAACTATCCATATTATTCAAATTATCATGACATTCTAATATGGTGATCATAATTATGCTAAATTAGTAGTAGATATTCGTAATAAAGTAAAAGTTTAGGGGAGGCGGATGTAATTTACTCATTCGTTAATCCTCCTCCTTTCATCTCCGATTTCTGCAATTTTAATCCTTTACTCTGACTAAAAATTCCGGTAAAGACAATCAAAAGATCGCCATGGGAGGAGAAGTGGAGAAGATGGTGGCAGTGGGTCTTGTTTGGGGAGCAACGAACGCACTCATGCGCAAAGGAGCCATTATATGGGACAATAAGATCAAATCCACCCCACATCCAAACACGCCCTCCACCAACCCGATCACCGATACACTCCGGAAATGGCTCAATCTGTTGCTAACTTGGCAATACTCTTTGCCGTTCATTGTAAATCTCTCGGCCTCCGCCACTTTCTTTGCGATTCTGAGCGAAACCCCCATTTCTTTGGCTGTACCCGTGACCAATGCGACGACGTTTGCTGCCACTGCTGTGTTTGGATTGCTCCTCGGAGAAGAGACCCACGTTGGCTTAGCTCTGTTTGGTACCTTTCTCATAAGCCTTGGTGTTTATTTGTGTGTGATGTAACCATTTGTACATGTTGAATATCTGTAGTTCAAAAGAAGAGGAAAGATTCAGTTTTTGGTCATTTGATGCTTTCCTTTTCCTACGAGTAACAAATTAAGTTTTGTGTGGTTATCAATGTACAATGTAGCTCAGTGTGTGTTTAGGGGATACAAAGTTTGAATCTTTTTCTTTGCAGATTTTGAAGTCCACTCTGCACCCTTTTGATTTTGATTGTTTCAGATGAATAGTGCTGCTTCCATTTTTATCTTTTATAATTGTTGAAACTCGTTTAGTGCTATGAATAGTTGATTCTGTGAGTTGCAGTATCTGAGATTGCAACAGTTTATAACTTACACAGTGAAAAGAGTAAATGGACGTAAAAAGTGGTCATATCTGTGTGCAACTTCAATATTTTCCTGATGTCTGATCTGATGCTACAATTTTCTAAGATTGCCTTGGATTACTGATTAAGGATGTCTAGCAAGTTTTCATGTCAGAACTTTTGCTTGATTTATATGTCAAGAACTTCAGGTTACTGTTGATTTTGGATGGATTACAATTTTGGAATAGATTGAACTCACTGAATATTTGAGAAGGCATAGGAAATGAATTCAGAAGAAGCGAATTTGAAAGGTTGCATTTGTTAAATAGGAAGCAATGGCTGATTTGCATTGGAATCAGTGAATATTTGGTGAGTAGAATGGGTGTATAGTTTGTGAGGAAAGATTCAATTAACATCAAAGCTGAATTAGAGAAAATATAGTCAAAATCTGGCTGTAGAGTAGTGATGAGTTTGAGACAGCTTTCAGGATTTTGATACTTATGGCTAAAAAACTGTGGCAAGGAACTTTCAACTGGGGCATCAGTCCGTATCTATTCGGATCTTTGCAGTAGACATACCTGTGAAGTTGTTCCTCAGGCAGATCATATGTCTCAGCTTAACATAACTGAGTTGACCACATGTGGGAGTGTTCTTCCACCATATTCCATGCGGTAGTGCGACTTCTGTGAGCTGGATGGGTTATCTTTTTAATGAAATTTGCGCATACTATTAGTATCATTTTTATGGTTTTTTTTTTTGCCAAGACTTCATGCAATAAAAGCAATTCTATCTGGATCTTTTTTTTTTCAAGTCAACCTAAATAAGCAGTGCAGACAATAATCACATGCATAAGGGTTTGGAAAGAGCTTCTGAACTTTATTTTTACCACTTTCATTGTTTCCATGCATACATTTTTGCAGCGAAGTTATAACTGCACATCATTACTTGACAAAAAGCTAACGCTGGTGGAATTGATGTCTACAACTAGAATAATGTTTAACCTTGGTGATTATTGATTAGTTCCATTTTGAAACTTCTTTCCCGGTTGTTGTATCTGGTGTCCTACTCTCTAGTTAACTATTCCTGTTTAGAGTTTTAGTCAAGATTGTACTTGAGGTAATTAAAGACAGAAAAAAAAAGCTTGAAAAAGAAAATGTAATTGAGTGAAATTCTTCAATAGGCAATTCATTTTACCCATTGCAGATGCAATATAAAAAATTTCTCTTCACAAGAGAAAAAAATTAGGATTTTCTCTTCATAAGAGACGGTACAATATCTCTAGTAGCTAAGTATTGAGGTCTCCTCTAATTGATGTGCACCCACATTGCCTTGCTTGGCACCCCACGGTGAACTACAAAGAGCATGTAATATCCTGGAGGAGCAAGTTTGCCAGATGGTGGTGCCACCGCTGTGATCTGCTGATTTTTCACGTCAGTTAGTTTCAGAACAAGCAGCCTCTGGCCCTGAGAAAAGCCATGGGTGGTAAATGGTGGTGGGTACATTGTCACTTTGATGTCTGATGCATCAACTTTATCTTTCAAGTTAAATTTAACAAAAAACTGTTTCCCATAACTCAATTCTTTGTCAGAGCCATTTTCGGAGATAGTTGGTCGGTGTTGATCAAGCTTAGGATCCAGGTAAGGTGGTGAGAACTTCTCCACCCTCAACTCCGTAGGATACTTCACATTGAAAGTGTAGAATTGATGAGGGTTGCTGCCGGCCACCAGAATCTTGCCATCTGCAAGCAGGGCACAAGAAGAGTGGTACATTCTTGCAATGTTTGTGGCCGTGAGTTCTTGGAATCTTTTTCCTTTTTCATTGTTTGGGCGGTAGAGCAGTGGTGTGAAATTGGCATCATCTGCCTGTTCCCAAGCAGAAGTACCAGCCTTTGCACCACTAAGCATCAAGACATCACCATTTGGAAGAAGAACAGAGTCTCCCATAGTTCTTCCTGATGGCATTGTTTCCTTTTCCCACTTGGCGTTTGCCTGGTTAAGGTTTAACCTGTTGCAATCCTTCAAAGCTGGAATGAATTTCCTCGGCTGCTGCTCGGAGTACTTGAAAGCATCATGAGTATTTCCTCCACAAACCATGACCTCAACATTGACCTTTTCGGCAGAAAGATCAAGGGGGAGAAGCACGGACATCCCAGAAGCAGGGTAGTTCCTGGATCCGCCAGCCAATTCAGGCAGGTTCCGGACGATTTTGCCAGTATGAGGGTTGAAAATGATGGCCTTGGAATTGGCAAAGAGGAAGAGGTTGCCATCAGGAAGCAAGTAAAGAAATGGATAAAGGTTGTTCTCACTGGGATCTTTAGTTTCTTGAAGGAACGGGAGTTTGAAGTTCTTTGATTTGAATTTCAATTGGTTCGGTGGGAAGACTTCGTAGCTGAAAACGCCACGGCCACCGACCACGGCAAAGGTACCATCTTCCAAGGTGTGCTGACTCGAATACCTGTATTTCATTAAACCATAAATAAATGACATTAATCATCCAATCAAAATAAAAAATCAATCACATGAAATTTCCTGTTTCGAAGTTTATGTATCATACCATCTGTCTTCAGCAAAGGCAACTACATTTTCTTTAAAATCGCATTTGTCGCAAGGAGTGAAGATCCTAATGGCTTTAAGTGCTTCAAGGGCACCACCTGTGTTAATCAGGTCGCCATTGGCTGCCAATCCTCCGGATGAGCACCATGGATCCGTCGTAACCTGGAAAACATACCAATAAATCCCTCAGTCAGGAATGGAACAAATTGAATAATTTTAGAACATTTCGGTTTTTATCTCAAAACCAATTGGTCATGAGTTACAGACTGATGGGACAAACAATGAATAGACGTGCATGAATTTGTTAGATAGCCCGATTCTTTTCTCGGCCAACAACAAGAATTCAGAAAAGAGATGATGAATGAGATCAAATGTTAGTATATACCTTCAATGGCCTGACTTTTCCAGTCACGGTATCATACTCAATGGCATGAGCAAAACAATCTTGGGTATTATTAGGAAGCTTACGGCAATACCCATTGTCGAATTTCAAAGCTGAAGGGCCAAGGTTTGTGGTATCAAACCACACAGCTTTGTTGTTAGGCATGAGTTGCAACTGCATGGCAGCAACACCTGCATTTGGGTTATGGATCTCCCATTGACCGCAGAATTTGGTCTCGAAATCGGGTTTCGGCTTCAATCCTTTGGCGCCCTTGCCACCAACACCATCAGCGTTACCAAACTGGATTCCAAAGCCACCACTGAAGATATCTCCTAAACCAAAGTCAAGGGAAAAGTCGCCATTGGATTTGAGATCGGCGCTGGCCCGGCCGGTGGCCGAGGCTCCGAGGAAGAAGAGGGGGAGAAGGAGAAGGGCTGGGAATATATTCGCCATCCAAAAAACCCCGTAAAATTTTGAAGAAAAAAAAGAAGGGAATTTCTTTCCCTTTCACGGGTTCCGTGAAGTAATCGTTGGTTTTCTTCTGCATGGGACCGACATTTTTATACTGCTCCTCCTAAACAGCCGTACGTACTCTTTCTCGCATGATGACCTGGTCAAAGTCGTGAACCGGAAATGTTAGCCTTCCATTTCAAACGGACAAAAACAAAGACAGACTCCAGTAAAATCTCAATTATACCCCTTTTATATTTTTCTCCAATTTTATTTTTTACTTCTGGTTAAAAAAGAAATAATGATAAAAGAGAGAAACACATGAAATTAAAAGTTATAGTCTATAGTTTTTCCTAGTCTACTTTCTACTAATTGAATTTAATAGTGTTGATATTCATACCCCTGCTATATGTTTGCATTCCCATACTGTTTCATTCTAATGATTCACTCTTTAGGGTTACGGTGTATTTTTTTTTAAATCTTTGAGGTAAAAAGGTTCATTTTTTTAAAAAATCGTTACTATGGAAAGTGGAAGAAGCTTTGTCTTTATAAAATCAGCATAAAAACTATTCAAAATGAAGGATGGATAAATTTTCATCCACTAATGAAAATTATGAAAGCATAAAATTCATATGATATCCTAGTATATAATTTACTTCAAGGACGTACGACATTATTTTCCACCAAAAGAACGAAAAAATAATTATCAAAATAGAAATTAAAGAAAAAGGAAAACCCTTTATTTTCACAGGGCAATGTAGTAACTTCAACAAAAAAGATGAGGAGGTATTTCATGGTAGCTGGTTTTGGAGTTTTATTTTATTTTCCTGTTGAAACAAGCTAGAAAATTAATTAATTGATGGCCATTAGTTTGGACATATTTTGTTTTTAAGGACAGAGCAAAATGTAGTGGCTTGGCCACCAAGTGTTTGGAATTAATGGTAATGGCAATTGCCTTGCCACTAATAAAGTACAGGCTTTTCATCCACAAGGCTCAAAGCCACACAAACCAAACCGTTTTGATTCTCAAATAGCTTGTTACTCCGAGTTTGCTCACTCTAAGTTTTCTGTCATCATAATTTTCACGTTATTAAAATTGCGTGTGTTAACTTACCTGGTTTATCACATTAACCAAAAAAAAAACACTTACTTTAGCACATAGCTGTCCAAATTTCTTTCCCTCTTCGTTCTTTCAAGTGTCGCATTGATTAGTGTTACTATTGTCAAACACTTCGAATACATATATTTAGATACCAACTATTAACTTTTTCAGTAAATCAAGATATATAATCATATATAAACCTTAACTATTGACTAAAGAAATCAAGATAATCATAAATTTAGCTTCATAATCATTTTGTACTACCTCTTCATGTATAACTTAATCTTGATTATTACTCCCCCGTGCCCTTTTTCCTACTACCCCAACATTAAATTACTCGTACGCTTCATCTCCAACTTGGTTCAATCCAAGCACAATCCAAAAAAACTGCTTGTTTGATTAAAACTCTGCAATTCATCTTTGGTCCCCAGAGAATGAAACTCTTGGGTTTTAAAGAATAATAGACCAAAGCATCTTTGTAGAACTTTGGAACGTAGATTCTGTTTGCCATGTCTGGATTTTGTGAAAAAGAAGATATGGAGTATGGACGAGGGCCAGCTCAAATACAAATAGTAGCCTTCTAATAAATCATTTTCTTCCCATTCTTCATAGTCCATTTTTTTTATTTTCAATTTTAGTACAAAATGAACTAAAAGTGAAAATTCAAATTGGATAATAGTTTTGGAACAAAGAGAACATTATATTTTCTCTTGGCGATAATAATTGCTCAGAATAAAGAGTTTGAAACTTGCATATGCGGTATAAAATGCTATATCAATCGAGTGCAATTCATAATATGAGCAATATTGTTGTATTATACTCCCTCCGGTTCTTATTATAAGACATTTTGATTTCATTCTAGGTTTCACTTAGGATACCTTTTTAATTGAAATAAAAACCTCAAAAATATTTTATAATTAAGTGAACACCTCGGACTTGCCTAAAGTGATTTACCTCTCACTGTGGTTTGCAATCTATTGCATTGGGCGTGGGTTTACCCATATCTAGTGGGGTTACCGGCATTACAAAAAAAAAAAAAAAAGAAAGAAAAGGGGACCGGAGGGAGTAATTCATATGTCTAATTGCACATAAAACTCGACCTACATTTCATTGCTTTCGAGATCAGGTAAATTTTATCAGCCATCTAAGCTAGTTGACAAATAAATCTTAGGCAGACTTCAACTAGAGTTTGAACTTCTTCTATTTGCGAGTAGAAATTATGAGATTATTTTAAATAAATATACATCACATTTTAATTAATTTCAAAAAAAAAAACTAAGTCTCATTCGATCTTAGTAAACAACTTCTTTGCAGGACAACAATCTCGTCTTCAATCTAACATCGTAGCTTGACACTCAATGAAGATTGTCTCGAAATTAATGCTCCCTAAACATGTGTTGACAGATGAAGGAAGGCAATCTAAACTAGGTTGCTCCAATTACAAGTCAAGATCTCAGCCATAAATATGGAGCACATTTGGCACCGGTTCCTCAACAAATCTAAATTCTTGATGATCATCTCATCACATGATCAGATGCTCCTTTGTCAAATCATATCTCTACTAACCCAATTAAAATCCAGTCCTAAAGCGTAGATCAAGGTACTAAATTGATTTGATTCTCGTTTTGCACAATCCAAAAAAGCGAGTGATCGAGTTCATCATATATAAAGATTCATCTGTTCCCACTTTAATCAGCAGATTCTCTTTAAGGAAAATTAAGCAGTGAGAATAAGCTAGAAAGGACTCAATGACAGCAACCCAATTGAAACATATGAAACTCATTTTCTCAAGTATGTAAGTAAAGGAGATGGATGGATATATATCTGACATGTCAAATTGCAATTTCACTCTCCATTTAGAATCAATGTCATTAAGAATGTACCTACTATTACACCAAAACGGCAATCCCCAATATATCTCTCCAATTTAACTTCTTGTATTGCATTATTATATGCATCACAAAAAAAGAAAATGAAAAAAAAAAGAAGAAGAAGAAGACAAGATTCATTCACAAATTTATGACAGGGAATTAAAATTAAGTACTAGATCATCATCAAAGTGAGAGTCTAAGCTCCAAATCTAAGTCTTGGTTGTTGCCACTTGATTCAGAATTCTGACTACTCGATTCGCTTCCATGTTTTTTCTTCCTCTTTCCGTACGATTCCTGGTGAGAGAGAAGAAACAGGAGCAAACTATGATGAGTGAAAGATAATCAAATTTTTTTAATTTTTTCTTTCTTTTGGAATTATATCTCCCGTGAATAATAATAATCATAGATAATGTCAATTAATTAGAGATATATCCAATCTAATTGGCATGTGACAATGTAGGTAAATACCTCTGCTTGTAGGTCCAGAAGCTGTCTAGTCATGCCCGGTTGTGCATATTGTTGGGTGTAATCTATGACTGTGTTGCCTGGCGGCCATCTAATTTTCATTTGAAATTCACAATTTGATCAATTGTATGAATGTTATACTACATATAACAACTCAAATAAATTAAATTTTCTAAACATCCGAGAGTAATACTTTCTCAGTATCTCTGGATAATCATTTCGGGATAAAAGGGAGTTTGAAAATATAATCATAGAAGAAAAGGGAAGGGAAAAAAAAAGGCACTTGGAACAAAGTGTGAAGATTGTCAAGCAATGGAATGATGAGTACCTTGTTGTCGTAGTAGGCTGGGAATCTCCATATCTTATATGTGTAATTCCTTCATAATCGCCATAGCCCCCCATCTGAAGGAAAGAAAAAAAAAAAAAAAACCATTATCAAATGATCAAGACTGAAGCAATCATTTCTTGTTAAAGCATTCCTAATCAGTGTTATAGATGATTTCTTTTAGAAAATTTTTACAGACGAAAAAAAAAACATGCATGCTGAAATGCTGCTGATTCATTGGAAGCAACATATATCCAAAGGATCCTAAAAAAGTATGCATTTTATTTTTTCTTTATTGCCCCTCCTCCTTCCAAGAATCAAGCAAGAGAGCTCGAAGAAGATGCGAGAATCTAGGGTTTATTTTAGAGTAAATGCGTCCAGATTCCGAAATCCCGTCAAAATAGACTTTTGAACCATAGAATGTGCGTATGCAGCTTTTGCTTGAACTACCAGAAATTAATCCAAAAAATAATAAAATAAATAAACATAAAAAAAACAGGGAAAAAAGTGATGCCAAAAGTTCACTGTCAAACTAAACAATCAGTGTAAAGCTAACGTATGCGAAAGATTAATTAACAAGCTTTCGGAGAAAACAGAAAAGTTTATAATTAATTAGTTGGGGTATAGAAAGCAATCTCAGCAGGAAGAAGTGTTATATAATGGATTAATATTCGTACCGGAGCTTGGAAACCGTAAGAAGAAGAAGAAGAAGAAGGAGTTGAATATGAGAAGGAAGAAGATGATGAATAAGGTGTTTGCATTCTGATATCTTCCTGCACTTAACACAAAATAAAAACACCACCCATTTTTGTCAAAACCACAAATTAAAAACTATCAAAAACTATACAACAACATATACTCCCTCTATCCCAAAATGATTGTCCACTCTGAGATTTCACTTTTAGTACAAATTGAACTAGAAATGAAAATCCAAATACGACAATAATTACGGAACGGAGGGAGTATATGATAATACTAACAATTAGCAAAAAAAAAAAAAGGAATAGGGAAAATGGATGATTGACCTGGCTAAGGTTGTGAGTGGCATAAGGATTATGATGATGATGATGATGATGAAGAGAAGGAGGAGGAAAACTAGTACAACCCATTTGACTGTGCAATCTAATCTTCTCTAATTGGGCAACACCTAGCCCTCTTTGTGGCTGTTTTGGCTTGTCTGAGTTCCCCTTTTTGCTACCACTTTTTCTTGATGATGATGATGATCTTTCATTTCCCAGATTTGGTTGACCATAATACCCACTCCCCATAGGTCTCGATATCGAAACCTCGATCTTCTCCTTCCTTCTTCTTTTATTTATGATTACTTCTGTGGATCAAAACCACTTCAAGATGAAAGTTGCAGCCGCAGAAGCAGAAGGAAGAACACAAACAAGCAGAAAACAATATTTGAGAGAGAGACTTGAGAAAGAAAAAGAGGGGGAGAGAGAGAGAAATGAGTCCTTTCTTTATAAAATCAACTACAAATTTTATTTGCAACAAAATTGTGAAGAGGAGGAGGGAGCAAATCAGAGAAAGAGATCTTCAACACCCTTTTTTAAGCTGTCAATACTTTGCAGCCTAGAGAGAGAGAGAGGGATTTAATTATTCTGCTTTGCTGGATCAGATTATATAATCTAGATTTTCCTTGCTTCACTTGTATCTCTATTTATATTCTTGGATTTTATGCTCTCTTCTCAATCTTTTCTTCTCACTATTATTTCAATATATATATATATATATATGGCTAGCTATGTAATAATAATGTAATTATTAAAGGCCTCAAATATTAGTATTTGTGAATGCAAAATGAATGAATGTAATTACTAAGGTCAGGATTTTTAAGAAAAAATTATAAAAAAAGTAGGAAACAGGAAAAATGATTGTATCCAGTTACTCTATTCTTTTTTTTTTAGTGCAGCAAGTACTAGCACCTCCCTGTTTTGTTGTTAAAATTCATGTGGTACATCAGGTGCACACAGTATTTTCTCACGAAACAGAGGTTTCATTTAGACATATTTCCTTATTATGTTTGTGTTTATAATTTTGTATTTTTGTTTATGGGAGACAAATTAAATGACCAAAGAAAATGATTGCTTTTTGATTTTGTGTAAGTGGTTTTAAATAACTATATATTAAAACTGATTTAATTTCACTCCTATATATAAGTGTGTATCATGTTTGGATGGATATAACGCGCCTCTTTGGCACGTTAATTTTGTTATTTTTGCCTCTTGGGTCAACCATCAACCCCTAATAGTAATTATTTTTTTTTCATTTTGCCACAGAAGCTAACCACACTTTACATGCATTATCGGTCTACATCACATGTCCCTGTATTTTACCATAGATTAAACTCACAGCTCCTTTTCACCGCTCTGATGTATGCATGATTGCTAATATACTCCTTCCGATCTTATTTAAAAGTCTCAGTTTACTATAAATTTATATTTTATAAAATGAATTTAATTATAATTGGTACTTTGATACGGTTCAAAAAAGTAATTTACATTGAGATTTAAGTTTTGTACGTTGAAACAGAGAGAATATATATCACCAAACCAACATTTATGGAGTGTGATACCGCATTTGTATTATCACTAAACCAACATGCACTCCCTCAGGAGCTCACCTAAGCATATTTAAGTTGGTTGGAAGCCAAAACCGTGACATATTATGAATTAAAATTTGATATTTTCTAACCGTATGATATAATCAGTACCCCATTCGTGTCGAAGTTATGGTATATTTGTCATATTAAAACAATATAATTTTTAAAACTCTTGTTTTGGAATGAAAAGTAGAATTTTCGCGCTCTAATGTTAGAAGCATGTATAACATACAGATATCCGCAAGAAAACTCCAGTGTAAAATTAATTAAAACCATCACTCATCTTTTATAATTACTACATTATTGTATGCTTGACAATAATTGCTACCAACTGTACGATAATTAGATCAAACAATTAGCAAGAAGATCGCACGAAATATACGAATCAAGGATGGACCAATAATTTAATCCAAAAATTAGTGTTTTTTAGTCCTGAAAGCATAATTGAAAGTACATCACAGATTCTTCACATCTCTTTCTTTCTGTCCAGCCAACACGCGTACATACGTGTATATATACTCTCTTTGTCCCAAATTTATTGTCCAATTTAATATTTCATTTTTAGTACAATTTGAACTAGAAATGGAAACCCAAATTAGACAATAATTATGGGACGGAGGGAGTATTATTTATACATACAAAGAAAGGATTAAACCTTCGACCGATACTCATAGTTGATTAAATTGAGAAATTTTTCTTCAAAAAAGAATGATCTGGAGAATTAATTTGTCACCCTTTTAATACATGATGACAAGAAAGGAAAATTTTTCTGTAGCTAGTATGATTTCTTACTCAATGAATAATTTTGAACCACCTCAATTACGTATTTTCGATTTATATTTACTTAAACTAACGTAATTTTAAGGCTGCATCGTTGGTTTTGTTTCTTTTCTCAGTATATCTAGTCCAAAAACCGACATAGTGCAAATGCGAGCAGTCTGCATCACTTTACATCTATAGCTATTTCTAAGTGTAAACTGGATGTTCATTTCAGGACCGGGAATACATAAAAACAAAAAAGGAAAACCAAAAGTATTTTTGAGTCCCCGAGAAATAAAATAAGTAATGACAAGCGCAAAACTTAAATACATGTTAATTTACAGGGCCATATGCTCCTTAATTCAAATTTTTATAATTTTCCTTAATCATAATAATAATGAATTCAAAATTGACGCCCGCATCAGTTGAATAAGTTTCACTTGATCACCTATATTGAAACAGGGCAAAAACCCCCAATGATTGATTAATTAATTAAGTAAGTAAATAACGGTAGTGATCATCACTGAAATATTTGGTCATAATCAAGGAGAGATTAAGAAGAAAAACTAAAAAGATTCTTAAGTTGTGAGAAGTGACGATATACATGCGCGTACGCTTGAAAGCCAACATCAACCTTTTGGAAACCAATAATACGCATAAAACCATCTACTAATTCAAATGTAGGGTTTTCAAGTTCTTAGTCAAATTCCAGAACCCCAAAACCAAGATTTGTTTAATACTACAATCGAAATTGAATATTGAATAAGATAATGTGAAGCCGTCACTCGTTTTCGTATTTGTTTGTTTAATTTTGTTTGGTTTGGCAGAGACACTAAACAGGTTCATTGTTGACGTCTAGAATGACATCAACTTCTCATTTACTTTTTCTTTTTTTTTTTTTCTTTCCAAAGCTTCCATCCCTATTAGTTTTCCTCTTTATCTCCCTTCCATGCCTTAGTTTGTTTTCTTATTTTCCGAACTGAAAATTATATAAGAAACTTCTCTTCCCAAATTGACTTAGTGGTGCTACATCTTGAAGCCTTTGAGAAAAATATTATTATGAAATAATTATTATTACATTTTAGCCAACTGATCGACATTGCTTTTCGCAGTAGTCTTTATTCTTTACTCAAGAGCATGAGAAGAATTGAAAACCACTTCAGTTCCATGACAACGGAGAGCAAAGATTTCTAAAGCTTGCTTGTTAAACCCTGAATTTGGAGTGATCAAGAAATGGGCGTTTTTCGCTTCGTTTTTTTTTTTTTAAAAAAAAAACAACAATTATCGTAAAACCCATAGTTTGGTTACGAATTAGATTCTTTCCGACCATATCTTTTAATCATTTTTGAATTATTTACATGCATGACATTGGGTCATATCATTGTTAATTCATGAAATGAGGTCCGAATCCATATCCATCAATTGCAAACTAGGTTTTAGATTCATTATTATATACTGTTCCAAACAATTACTGAAGAAGCAGTAACCCTATAATGAAAATTTCATATATAGAATAGGGAGAAAAACTAATCAGAAAGAAAACTAAGCCATGTGTTGACAACGTCTTGATTTTAGGATTTTATTTTGTCTTACTTATAAATGTAAAATGTTGGATTGTTGCATTTTACAACGAACAAGTTACTTTTGTTACGTAGTTTATTGATTGTGATTGTTATCGAGGATTTTCATCGGTTATTATTGTTATTATTTATTTTTTGTTCACGGTCTATGTATGTACGAGAGAATAGTAGTATAGTAAATTTGATTATCAAATTATGTTATGATGAAGTTCTCCTAGGAAGATTTGTCTACCAAATTCGGTATCATGACTTTGGTACTGTAGTAAACCCACCAGGTGATAGATTTTACATTATATAGATTTAATGAGCAAATTCTTTTATGGTGAAAACTGATGTTTGATTTCTATTAGGATCCATGAACATTAGTAAAATTGTTGGTTGGATTTACCTATTGTCATCGTTGCGAAAGTATATCATCGTTGGTAATGTTGCCATAGCGGCACTTTAGCCCAACAAAATAAAGAGCTGATCAGAACATGGGAGAGATCGTAAGATCACAAAAAAAAAAAAAAAAGAAAAGAAAAGAAAAAGTAGATTAATCAATGTCGTACGTAGTAAATTAAGTGGGAAAAAGGAACAGGGGTGACAGAGTAGAAAAACAAGGGGATTAGGTTTGATTTGATGTTTTGAATCCTGCGATGTTGATTTGGTTTAAGACAGAATTAAGTGGGAAAGATGGCCAAAAAATAAAAAATTAAGAAAAATATCTACTGTGGATTCTGCTCACATGCAATTTCGCAAACTCCATAATCCAGTACCATAATTAATCCTCTTCTTATATTTTTAAGTACCAATTTGGTCCTCATTTTATATTTCTTTGACTGACCCACATTTGGCTTAGCCATACAGTCATACACCATCTTTCTTCTTTTTAATAACAAAAGCCCTCGCGGCTCACCGACATGATGTTCATAGTTTATCTCTAGTACCAAAGGGTGCACTACTTGCGGGTGTTTGAATTCTTTCCTGTTAAACATTTCATATATAGAGACTACGTATACTAAGGAAAAGCTCAATTAATATTACTGAACTTAAATGTCTTACTACTAGCTAAATATAACCAAAAATGTATCAATGTTTCTCTCATACATTTTGGATGACGGAACAGACGCTAAGTGTGTATCTCAACATTTTTCATTTTTTTATTTTTGGGTGACAATGTTATTTTTAAATTTCACAACATTAGAAATCTATGAATATTAGGAATGCGACCGCTAAAGTTAGTCAGTAGTTAATTTAGGGGTGAATTTTACGTGTCACAAAATTAAACGGGAAATTTTGATCAAAATCGTATTTACAATAACATTTCTAGTGTTCACATTTTATAATTTTATATATGTATTCTTTCCGTTAATATTTAATATTAATATTTAATAAGAAGTAACTGTAGTAAGTAAATCCTAGCTAGCAAAAAATTAATTATACACCTGTTACATAAAATATACAGAAACTCTTTTTACCATGGTTGCAAACTTAAAATTCACGCATCTTGCTACATGTCCAAATTCTTAAAATTGAAGTATATAAGTCGATGCATCATACATGTGTATTAATAATATATATATATATATATATATAATAATTCTGTCAAACCGTAATCGGCCTTCAGGGTTCAGCGTCGATCTAGGCAAGAGAACAACTGTTCAGTAGTGCTTCCAAATCAATCCAACTAGAACCC